ACTTGAATGTGCCCGCATTACTGTCACCAATAACGCATCTTCTTATTATCCTCTCTTTTCAGTGATCAGTATTCCCGTACACCAATACATGAATGTGCCCGCATTACTGTCACCAATAACGCATCTTCTTATTATTGACGTCCCAGCTGACGGTGCCGCTGGAGGCGCGTACGTCTCAGGGCAGCGCAGAAGCGACGTTGTACGTCACCGTCGAAGACGTCAACGAGTTTCCGCCGCGTTTTGCCAACGACGTTTATCAGACGCAGATTACTGAGGAAGACGACAGACACCTGCCCAAGCCGGTCATTCAGGTGTGTCGTGCTGATATATGCACATTATTTATATTGTGGTGTTGTTGTCAAGACTTCTATAGTTTTTATGAGTTGCCGCAGTGCTTCAGGTTTTATGTTCAAATTCCACTATTTCTACAATATAGTCCTATAAGGTCCATGGTCCCTAGAATATGTAGCTGAAAGTAGGAAGAAAGTCTAAAATGCAGCTAATAAATACAATTGTCAGAAACTAGATTATACGCGAAATTGCTTTAGCAACGAAAGGTCAGAAGAAAGTAGGTTCGCGTCTTACCGTGCCGAAATATTGCATTTTGTTGCCCAGGGATATACAGACAGCTGAAGATTGCCTTCAACATGGCTAGGTTATACGACTGGTGCAAGCCTCATCGGGCATCTGTGGAGCATGAGAAAGGCAGTTGCTCTGAAATTCAAAACAAATCAGAGTTAAGGAAAAGGAATATATATTTAACAAAGATTTTCTTTCAGAATCAAGACAAGCTTTGAAAATTTGAGACACTGACTTCGAATTGTAAGTTCGGCGAAACAATTCATAAAAAAATGTTTCTGGAATTTAACGCTTCCCCTTAGTCAGTGTAGGGTTAAAAAAATCATAGCCAAAGTGATCTCGCGCTTATAGAATGTTCAAAAAGCGTTAATTATTAAAACTTTTGTTTACTAACAACACTTGATTTGTTTTGCCGTATGTTTTTGAACACGCCGTTTCACTTCTCTTCGGAATGCAGCATTGCCGTATGCTTCAAAATTATCATACACGAAAATTCGAAACAAAAACATTGAACTCTGATTGTTCATATCAGAGTGGTTTTGTGTCGACTCCCCTGAAATTCTTTAAAGTTCGATTATTGCTATTTTTAATGAAAAAAGTAAACGCTGAAGCCATCAATGCACTAGCAGACGTGTGACCGTAATCTCCACGGATTACGATAAGTGCGAGTTTGTCTCGCGCAGTTCATCCTGCAGGCCTTATAACAACGCGCGCCCTTGACGGCGTCTTATATATAGCCGTCTTCGGCTGCCGTCTTCATTGCACTTGGGATTTCCGTCCGTATTTTTTGGCTCGAAACGCTGCCGTCTTCGGCTTTTTACTTTGGCTGACTCAAGGCTGATTCTTGTTGTTAAACTAAGTATAGATTAATGCTTCGGCAAACCTTTTATAATGATAAATTTCCTAGTGGCTTTATATTGACCGACATTCTACTGTCGTTCTATGTTTTCTAACATTTTTTTGCACTCCGACCCGTCATTTCAAAGAAAATTTCTGCTACCTCTTTTTTCCTTGGACGAGCCTCACCATTCTTTATTGTATACATTTAACCCGTGGTAAGAATTTGAGTTTAATTTAATAACCTAGTTTTCTTAATAAGCTTACATTTACTATTTAATGGCCGTAAATTTCTTAAGCCGGCTTCTGTGAAGTAATTGATATTCTAATTAATTGATGTACTCCGTGTCTTGCAATCTTGAACTTCGTCTAATCAAGGTTTATAATCTAGGTCTACAATCAAAGCATTTCTGTCCAACTTCTTTCTTCGCATGGGAATTTGATTCATATATGAGATTTTAATTACCTTCTAAGCGACGTTTGAGGTGACAATTTTTTTCATTCTGTCAATAAAACACCGGTAGCTGGAAACTTTTGTCCACTTCACTCCTCTCACTATGCCAAGTCCTGATTAATTATTTTCGTACTTACTAGACTCGTATTACTTTTTATTAAGATGTGACACAGATTTAAAGGAGCATTGTACATTCTTTGCCTCCTGTGCTAATATAAAATTTCAGGTATCGAAAATTTTTAAGTTCGATTTTGTGTTGTTCGTTAGTAAAACACTTGTCCGATATCGCTAATTTAGCACCAATTTCATGCACATTTGGTAGTGGCAGAGGAGAGAGCGTTAAAAATGGCGGAAAAGCAATATGATGCAGACCAAAGTATTTTAAGCGCTTTGTTAGTTTTGTGCTTGATTTTTTAAAGATGGGATAAATGATTGGTCTACGGATGATCGTCGAAACATTACAATAGCTCTATTGACATATTTCTGCGGACCCTAAGCTAACAATTTTAAGAAATTTTTCTCGAGAGCTCAAAATGTTTCTTTGGGGAGCTCCAGATATTTCTGCGTTCTGGCAGGACCAATGAAATATTGTATGCCGCGCACGATGGGTTAATGCTGACAATGCGCTGTGTATTGTATCGTAATTTGTGTCGCTGTCGGCGGTGGGCCTGAAAAACCGTACGCACGGAACACTCCTGGGCGCAACACGTTCAACTCAGAAGGAAATTATGGAAATTGAAGAACTGAAGCAAAGGCTTGCTTGCGCGGCTGTGGAAAATCGAGTCCAGGCAAATGGAATATTTGTGAAATAATGCGGATTCATGTCAGTTGACGCGCACGTGGCATGAGAATCAAAGGACAGAGTGGCTGCTGGATTTTTGTTTTACAAGATTGATTTTAACACTTGACTGTAGTACAGTTCCTTGACTGTAGTGCAGTTCCCTAATTGTAGGACAGTTTACTTTGTTAAATATTGCAGCGAAAAATATCCTATTGTACTAAAATGTCGAATCAATATATAGTTTCTACCCCAATAACAGAAACTTTTCACTTCCAAATACTTATGACTGACCGAGCACGATCTAGTTTGACTTTATGCAATAGATAAAATACTTGTCGTTTGATGTAGCAATCTTTAACGTTCATGTGATTATTGAAATTTCCTTACAATGTAGTGGTCAGTAACGTTCCTGTATAAATTTTATAACGCCAGCGACTTGCCATTTGAGCTCTGATATGAGCCTGCAGTAAAAGCTGTACTCACTGCTGTATGCATGTTCTTCATATGCGTTCGTTGCAAGACTAAACTCTGCAAGCAACATCAGCGGTTTATCGGTGGCCATGCATGGCCGGTGATACGCCGGTGATGATTCAACTGTTATTTACAATTGGGTAGCAATTCCCGATATTCCTTATTCGATTCCAATGCTCGTATTTGGGCTTTTATGGTGTTTCCAATGCTACTTGGATTCCTGATCTGAGTTCTGATGAAGAGCGCGCCTTCCTGTCGCGAGGTCTCATTGCCTCGCATTCATAACAAATACGCCTACTGAAATTTGGTCGGCTTAGGCCCATAAACTGGAATCGAGTATTCTTGAGCTGAAATTATCCCAGGAAGAATAAGTTTTAGAAAATCCGGAGAGAAATGAATTTCTAGGAATTTATTGGTTTCTTTCATTAATGGAAAATCATCACTTTGTGGTTGATGGTTTTCAATATGGTAACATGTTTACTGAATATTTTTTTCAGGTGGTCGCGCGGGATCGTGATGGTGGCAGCTGGGGAGTGCTGCGCTACTCCCTCAGTGGGGACGGGGTCTCCCAAGCCCAGGACCCCCACCCTCAGGATCCCAATCCTAACCTCCACAATGATAATCTTAACAATGAAGCTACGAGACGTCAATATTTTCCCCAATCAAGATCATCGTCTCTGAGTACACCACATCAGCCAGAATTGACACCCATAGCAAAGTCGTCGTTACGACTTCTCCCGGTCTCTTCGTCGCTCGTCAGTGACATCGTCCTCGGTCTCGCGGGTCCGGCGCTTCGGTCTCCAGGGGCGCCGCCCCCCGCCGTCGCACCGCCCTCGGTCTCCAAGAGCAAACACTGGACGCGTCGCCGGGCTGCCTTCTCCATTGATCCCGAGTCCGGCACCATCTACGTGCTTAAGGTGAGTTGAACGGCAAACTGGTAAATACTTCCGTTACGGTCCAATATTTTTCTTCAGTATTGCACCGAGTCACTCCACTACTTACGGCACCATATATGTACATGAAAAATAACTGCATTCCCATGTATTTTGAATTACTCGATCGACTCCGAACCGTAGGTGCAATCCAATATCACCGGGAAATTTGAAAAAGTGTTCTTGTATTAAAAGGTTCAGAGGATTTAATGGTCAGCTTTCTCTTGCTCGCTGTCTCATTTTTCAAGATGGCTGCATGTCCAATAAGAGTTTATCCAGCTCATGCTCGGAACGCTCGTAAATCTTATTCGTGTTTGACAGTATTCGAGTTCTAACGCTGACCGCATTCGTTTTGTTGTCGATATTATTTACTTTATTTTATGAACCTACGTTAGATGGGTTCAGAAAAAAAGATCTTTCCCATCTCCCCCGGGAATAGACAGTACCCGCGCTTGTAGCGCCGCCAACGTTTCTATAGTGAAGTAATTGATCATGTTTTTTTATGCTCCATGGACGCGTGAATTGCGTGTGGTGGCCATATTAATTTGTGGCTTTACGAGGTCCTCATGAGAGCGCAGGGTGGGATGACGTGGAATTGGTTAGCACCAATGATGGCTTCGTCACAGGATGATCCTTTGACATGCAATTAGTTACTTTGAATTTTTTATTCTTTTGCAATTAGTTGTCATGACATTAACCTTTATTATATGAAATACGAGTTTAAATATTTGTCTTAAATTAGGTGATGCAGTAATCAATTTATTTAATTTATCAGTGATACAGTTATAAAAAGCATTTATTTGCGTCAAAATCATGCATTCTCGCAGGTTTTACATCTCAGAATTGATTATTCGGAGCAAGTCATTCATTTTTGCTGTTGTTAGTTTCTATTTAATTGCAATTGCTCACTCACTCTGCGCTGACCTCGCTCGCTGAAAGTGATGTCTCAGCGATTTTCTAGCTTCAGATAAAAGCAGTAACTCCTCTGAATGTAATTAAATCGTCAATATGCTGGGGGCGAGATCCCGATTAAATTTAATTTCTATAAATATCGCAATGAATTCACAATTTCAGATCTCACGCGAGCTCATGGCCATGTGAACGTGATCGCAATGACAACATTCGCTACTGTCGAGGTAAACTTGGAGAAAGTTATATGAGGCTCCCAGTTATGTGCTCTGTTATTCATTCTTATTCGCGTGTAGTGCAAAGTTATCGGTAAATTCTCAGTTATAATTTGTTAAAGCTATTTGTTGCACTGGCATATAACATAAAACCCTACAGTGGTGATCAACTACCAAATTTGAAATGTATAGCTACTGTTTAATAACCGAAACAGATCGCAAAATTTTCCACCGAAAGGCGTCTGTTTTTTTTTTTGCTATAGCCTTTATCCTAATATCAGTTTCATTTTCAAAGAAAAAGGCTACTAATTTCTTATTGAGGATCTCAAAACGATGTAATGAACGTCGTCTTCAGAAAACAGTATTTTGTTCCTCCAAAGCTCTCTTGCCGACTATCTTGATGTACATATCGAATTGACTGCCTTTTGTAAGACTTTCAGCGTAGCTTTTCTCTTAGGATGTACAGAAGTCTTGTTTTTATCACCGATGTTGTTTTTTCTCTCAGAAGTTGGATAGTTTCATACCTGAACATTTGTATCCTTCTCACTTCCTCTTCAGCAATTTAGTCCTAGCCGTTTCATTTTGGTGTTTCAATAGAAAGGAATCTCGTGCATCTCATCTCAATCCTTTCTGACGTCTGAAAAGGAAGTTCTTTGCCTTCGAAATCTTTTCAATGTTAGCCTTAAGACTCTTGAGCTCAATTCTAGTTTGCTTTGCAATGGAAACGGTCGTGTTTACAAAGTAATTGAACGCGCGATCGCTTCTGGCAACTGCAACAATGTTGGTAAATTTTGCATCCTTTCTGGCTTCAGTGACCAGAAATTAATATGTACAACATTTGAACATGGTTAAGATAGTTTGTTAACGATATGCAGGCATGAATTAGTTCCGTTCCCATTAAAGGTTGGATTTTCCGCTCAATTTAAATTCAGAAAAATAGTCGCAGTGGAATTTTTTTGCTTTGCTGGAAGAATCAAAGTTATGAATTTCCGTTTCTTGTATTTTCCTGGACTTCTAATTTTTGGATTTCACTTCACTATTTTTTACTTGAAAATTTCGCACACCTATTCGGAAGTTTCTGTCGCACAATTGGTAAATTTTAACCTAAATAATGACCCATGATTCATCTAAAATTTATTCATAAATATTGTTCGCGTGATGAATTCAACAAAATCCGTGAGTTCACTGAAAAGGCGTGAGAATCTCATTGGGAATTCATCTCATTCGTCATCCGCACCTCTATCTGTAATATATCGTTGGAAATTTGGTCCTGCCCGACGGGAAAAATTCGTCTGTAATTGTAGAACTAACGTAGCCGCAAACTCCGGAGTTCACACAAAGCGAGCTCATCGTAAGTTAGATGTCGATTTTGTTCTTGTGCTGAATGTGCTTGTCATACGTAAATAAATCTATAACAATTTAATTGTCTCCCTTAGAGAATCTTCTTGTGGTTTAAAACGACTTGATAAAGTTGAACGAGAAAATTAGAATGTATTCAGTCTTTGTCACGTTTTCATAAGTAACTTTATTTTACCCACTCAATGATGTTCCATTAGGAGGCTGGCGCTTTCGTTGGCACTCGACACCCTGCTAATGGGGTGTTCTTTATACCTAATAATGTGTTCTTAATGACTTATAATTAGGTTCTTTTTATACCTGCCGAACGTCGCTTCAAAGAAGCTGCTCGTCTTGCCAAGTTTGCTCAAGTGCCATGCGATCTTCTAGAAGTTCATCTTCAGCAGCCAACTTCCCCTCCATAGCTACCCTTGAAAGATAATCAGCTCACTAGATGGGTCGTTCCTTTATTTGGTAGAACAATTTGTACGAGCTTTATGCTTGCTCTAGACATGATAATTGTGAAGTCATCACATGCTCATGAATAATTTTGTAGATATTTCCCGCTCTTAGTATGTTTTCTGGGCATATTTTAGTTCGTTTGAGTAGCTTCATTAATGCAAGCAAGAATTTTCGCAGGCGTATCGCTCGCATTTGACGACATGTTTGATGTTGTTTCAAAAGGTCATTGTGGTTTCTATTGCCGATGAACACTCCAGTTACGAATGCTTATGCATGCTAATCGATGCCGAATTTCGATTCATTGTTATCTTCAAGGCTCTGCGGTATTTCTTGAACTATTTATGTATAATATTTAGCAGCTATCAAGGCTTAGGTTACCTCTTTGGCTTTGAATGTTATTTTCTCCTTCGATGGTTAAGGTCGGGACTAACATCTAGATAAATTTTGGGTTATATTATGGAGGTTACGGTGCTTGCTCGAGGGCTAAGAAGTTCTGAATTATGTTGTTTCTCTCGGTTTCAAAAAACGAAATCGATTGATATCATCAAACTATTTTGTATGTTTTTTCTTCATTGTCTGTGCGATCATTTCTTGCCGCACTATTCGCTTGTTCAACAATTAATATAGCGGCCCTCGGCGAAACAATTGCGGATGTCAACACATCATCGCCAGACGCGCGGCGTTGCGTGCATCCCGACGCTCATCTCGACCAGCCAGGAAGCTGATACGGCATTTTTCCATGAAAAACTGGGTCACGATGACCCACACATGGACTAACAGTGCATCGCTATTTGGACAAAGTCTCATTTCTCTGAGTGCTTTTTAATTAAAGCAATGGGGCGGGGACGATCAGCACTGTGTGTTTTCTTGTCGTCTCTTTGGAGTAGTCGAGAGAGGACAGCGGCGTGCTATTTTATTGTGAAATTGTTATTGACGTATTGATGCTGGATGGTAGCATGAATTTGTGAAATTTGAAAACTTGAATCAATTGTAAATGCTAAAAAAGTGAATATCAGTTTTCAGGAAATTGCTGTGTCTTGAAACTATCCCGCTCTGAAGATTACAGGCAGAATGTTACGACTATAATATGTTGATCTGACTGTTTACTAATTTCGGATTATCCAAAATACCCACAGTTCTATTTTCCACTCCAAGAATATAAAATTCATTATGTATTATTTTCGCTATCGGTGACCAGGCAGTTCCGTTTGCGCCCTGACTGATGGTCCAAAATTCCAATAAAGGTTCCATTATCTCCCGAGGAGGATGATTTAGCGATGTCACTGGCGGACTTTGCCGCTGATCCCAAGAAATCGTGTTCGATTCACTTATTTCCATCTGACCTGACATTCTTTTTGTCGATTCACCTATTCTCTTAGGAATAATTTCTACCCATTACACTAACTGCAGAATTGTCGTGAGACACGAATGAGATTTTAGCTTCCACTGAAAGTCCCGCATTGACGCACGGCATCGCACCGTCAAACCGCTTCGCTCGGCAAGCCTTGCGCCTTGCCGATTTAATGCCGAATTCGACATATTCGCTATGTAGGCTTAAGTGGAGCGTTCAGTCCATTGAATCGCCTTACTCAAGTGATACATTGCTTGCTGATGAATTGAACTGATATGCTGGAATACAGTGGTCTGTGCGTGACTTGGCTCAATGGAAAGCCGAGGAATGCGACAGCTTTTGATACATCAATGTCTATGTTACATGTACGGTGACGGGATTTCTGGATTTTTTCTTCGATATACTTATTATTAAAAATCGATCGTTGTCTCCAGCATATTACGTCAAGCTTTCCGTTCGTTTTTTTTTTGTGTGACGTCTTCACAAAAGTGTGTCAAGTCGTAGTTCTGAATTTACGACTTCATTATGACGTCATCACAAGAGTGCCAAAGGTCTCTCGGTCATGTCTACTTCACTAGAGGACTCCATCACAAAGTCGCGAGTCGTAATGATCGGCTCTCAGACGCGTCGTAAAGTCGCCTATTTACGACCAAGCTCAGGACAGCTCAAGGCAGGCAATTCTCGCTCCTACTTGAAGCGCCTTCTTGAATTTCCTGCCTTGAAATTTTGTGCGGTTATTGGTCTTTTTAGCGCATTTTCTCATTTATGGAAAAAATGCACTATTGTGCTCGCCATGTCCGTCCGTCCGTCTGTCTGTCTGTCTGTCCGTCTGTCCGTGACCTCAAGTTTTCGTCGACGAGAAAATGCGCTCTCTGTCACTCACTGCAGTGAGTACTGAGTTATATATTTTTATTATAATTCTATTTATTTCAGATTGTTATCGTAATTGGTAGAATTGCGCTTCATACTCAATCGTTGAAAATTGTCCGAAACAGGGTTCAAACTTAGTTAATTATTTCTGTATGAGGAAAAAGCCCCTGTATGGCCAGTCATTCCCATGCAGTTTCCCGTGTTTGCTCGAATAACATCAAAGAGTCAAAATTCTCCTGTATGCTCGAATAATGGCAAAGACTCAGGCCCAATCAAAGGCCGTTTCAAATGCCCGAATAACGGCAAAGTATGCCCGTGTCCTAAGCCGTTCAGTATGCTCGAATAACGGCAAAAACTACGGCCGAATCAAAGGCTGATCTGTGTGCTCGAAAACTGCAAAGATTCACGCCGAATCATTAATCATATGATGTTCAGTATACTCGAATATAGGCAAAGACTCAGGCCAACTCAAAGGCCGTTCACAATACCTGAATAACGATAAGCTCCGCCACTTGATGAATGCCACCTGCCACCCGAGACCAGCTGTGCGTCTCGAGATGAATAACTCTGGCACGAAGCCTGCCACTCTTGCCACCAGCCACTGAAGCTTTATTCATTTCTTGCCCATCGTGACGCAGAGTAATATTTCACGAGAAAGGTCGTTCGCTTCTCATTTGTTATGGCAGTTTTTTCGACGTTGTTATTTACTCCTGTAAATAAATACGTTTGGTACTATGTAGATGCTTTTTTTATAATAAATGCTCGCTAGCCATAAGAATGAATCAAATACAGTGAGTTTGTTGATAGATCTACAACTGTATTTTTAGAACTGGTGTGAAAGACTTGAAGCGAGATTGCGTGTCCGATCTCATATTTTTATTGTTAGACATGTTTAATACAGTGGCTTTGTGTTGAAGAGGCTAATTACTTACGATAGCTGTGATCTAATTTGAATTAAGTATTCCACTGTCAAATTCATCATTGTTGTTTAAAAATGAACTAAGTATAGAGATTTTATATCAGAGCGGTCAAATGTAAATGGCAGTGCATTTTTCTTGGCTCTCATGACAGTTTGTTATAAAGATATATTTAGAATCTAAATAAATGTATATAATATTGTGAAACACACATGTGTTCTTAAGAATTAAAGTGAGTAAATATCTTTAAATTGAAGAGTTCACTGAAACTGCATCTTTTTTTGGTGAATATATTCGTTACTTTACGTTGTTTCTTACTCGTACAAGATATACGTAAGTTTTCGTTGCCGGTCGAACCAGTAGTCAAATAATTTATTCATATTATTTTGACCTGAACGCTGCAGAAATATTGCTAAGTAAATCCTATGTTACCCGCTGATTTATTTGCTTAGTGAAGAATGTGGGGATTCGCCTGCTCGGTTGAGGTTTTATGCGTTAAATTTTTCACGCCCATCTCATAGAGCAATATATCTAATTTGATAGCTGCTATTTTGCTGTGATTGTGATTTCACAGAAAATTATTTTTGATGCGAAAAAGTCCCAACAGATAGATATTCAATGTGCTAACCAAGAGTATTGAGGCTCAAAACTTTACTGGTGATTTTTGAAGTTATGAATGAAACGATGCGTAAAAAGGGGCTAATTGGATTTTTAAATTTTGATTGTGCAGAGCTAGACGAGATTTGGTGTCTGATCTTACTCTGTTTAGGCCGACCGAGTTCCTTTAACGAAGAAAAGTGCGCCGGAATTTCCAACTTTTCTTCATAGAGTGCACGTACCAGTGGAGGTGCAATGGTTGATTTTCTGGTGCTAAATTTTATTTTATACAGGATTTACAACCGGAGCATTGATGGCAACCTTATCCAGCCTGCAGAGCGTTCCGTGACAATTCTGTGACCAGAAATTCGAGCTCATATAGCGGTGTAAACCTGATACCAGTATGCCGTTGTTTGGTGTGCAAGACGTACAGGTGGAAATTTCGCCAAATTATCAGCGAACAATTTTGCATGCTTCTTTGATTCTTCATCGAGCTTCCTCCTATTATATTTTTGCCCAAATTCATTTAAGTATTTGTCACAAAATTAAAGGACTCCATTCGGTGTTCTTATATCTGTGCGTTTTTCTTAGTCATACGAAAATATCTGAAAAAATGCACGAATGATTTTTTTCTATTTTTTATTGACTGGTTGTTTTATTTTTCATGTCCGTTAATTTTAGAGGTGCTAAAAATTGTAATTGCAAAGGAAAAAGTCCTATTAAGTTAAAACAATTGAATTTTAAAAAGCCTTGCAGCCACGATTAAAAAAACTGTTGAGTTACACATCCTTGTTTCCTTTCAAAAGAACTTAATAATGAATTGTCATAAATTTGTGTACAATAATCAAATCTTAAGTTTTAAATAAAGTACACAAGAAAGTGGACATAAATGAGACGAAATTCGTCTAAAAGATATAACCTGGAGCTATGGTATTGAGATTGTTTTAACTCTAATTTTGGTTGCATGCAGGGGGCAAACATATATCCTATGTTCTCTGTGCTAACTGCTAACACTGGAATCCCTCGTTTGCGTAACAAGAATCTTAACTACGCGAGTTATTCAATTTTTTTGCAATTGAAAGACGGACTAATTGACAAGATAAAAATTTTTATTGACAATTAATTTTAAATACCGAAACGATTCTACCATATTTTGCTACGTTAGACATTCATAATCAAAAGCTTTTGTCAAAATTATCATTATTCATTCTCCATAAATAATTTGTGATTGGAATTGTGCCTAAATTAATTGAGGAAAGCTCAAAATATGCGAAGTGTTATAGACAAAAGCCGCTCATCTTGGGCCTCTAGACAGGCAGCAGAGCGATGGCCTCGTAAATAACATAAGCAGACTGTATCATTCCCAACTTCTTGTGTTTTGCGGGGAAATTCAGGCGGGACTGAAATTATCGCGGCGCCCTCTACATTCTTGCGGATTTTTGCGCACAGATTTAATACGGATTTCAGCCGACGGTTTTGTTGCGCAATTTTTTCGATTCAAGAAAAGCCAAGTTAATGAAATGTATCGGTAATCTAGCGTTCCGCTAGAAATACCGCCGCTTTAATTTGCACTGCAACGAGTTTTCATTGTTGGTGTAAAATTTGTGTTGTTAATTATTACAGTTTGCTAATTTAGTCTCGAGTCTAACTAAAGCTTCATTTGTTGTCAAGTTCATTTTTCATTAACTCAGTAGAAGCTGATAAACCCCGGCGTCTTTACGCGATATTTTAGTCCTAATTCCTAATTCACTCCTAAATGCACTCCTAAACATAATGTCCTAAATTCACTGGCTGCTGTGAACTAAGCTTACTAATTAGAGCGCGTCATTCTAATTGAGACTTCAAATTTACAAACTTCTCACAGTAAATAAATGAAGCGTTGGAGTCTTCACAACAAAATCACTTCATAATAAAAATGACGCTTAATTGATGCCTGGCATCAGGTGACACTTGATCTCTACGTAAATTACGAAGATGTGTGATCCCCAGAGGAGAAGATACAATACGAAGACAGTATCCTTGATACCGAAGGAGGCGTCAAACAAAAGTACACAGTACCCGGCATAATTTCTTGTAATGCAGTAGATCAGGTACACGAAGTGGCCAGGAGTGTTGGGTGTCTGTGGTGTTGAAATTACGTGCGCTCATGCAACACACCGGCTAGTGCAAGTCAATGAGTTACACCGCCTAATGTAAGAAAATGTTTATTTTGAAGTAAACGAAAGTTTGTGGAGATTCTATAAAACGTCGCGTTTAGGGATAAAGTTTCATTGCTTCTAGACCTGATAGATTAGATCAACGATAAGAACCCACGTTCGAACCCGGTTCTACATTGGTCGAGGATAATTAACTTTAAAAAAATTTTCACATTTTCTTGCTAGCCGTTGGACCGTGACGCACCAACGGGCCATGCGCGCTGGCGTCTGACGGTCACGGCCACGGACGGGCAGTACACGGCCTCCACTGACGTACTCGTCAACCTCAAAGACGTCAACGACAACGCACCCGTCTTCCCGCATGACGTCGTCGACGCCAACGTCTTGGAAAACTCGATGTCAGGTGATTACTTTTTTAATTAATGATCACGAGGTTGTCATTACTTTTTTATTGATGAAACTTTTATTTGTGAATAATTTCACTCAATCGTTCTTAAGGCAAATGATAGTAAGTGGAATGATAGCTTCAGAGATTTATTAATTTATTCAAATGGAACTATTTATAGATGGACCTTGATCAAACAATAATAATTTATTGTTGGTAGACTTGATGGAGTCGGCAATGGTCTCGCCAAGGGAATCAAGGACATCAGAAAATGCGTCAAGCTATCGTCATCGGCACCAAAGAGTTGCAGCTGGTCTTGAACAGATGGAGTGATACTGAAAATAAAAATAAGGGTGCAGGCTGAATATAGGTGAATGAACAAGTAACCGTTTCTAAATTTCAAAGTATCATGTGAGATTTTGAAACAAATAGTAAAATTGAATGTTAACACACCTGAGTTAATTGTGGACTCAGTGTGGTAATGCACTTTTTGAAGAGACAATTCAACGAAAATAGATGAAATCAGATTAAGGATGATGCTTCAGTTAGGAAATAGTATAGAATAGTTGAAGAGTTGATTTGAAAGAAGATTAATGAACAAGTGACGACTTACGCTATTGACAACACAGCTATTTTCAGTGCCGCCATCTTGAACTTTAAGTAAATTGAATTTTAATTGTTGAACATGATTAAGATCACCATTAATAGAATTAATTGAAACTGAAGCATCCAGTTGAAAATAAAGCAAAGCAGTTAGCAACTAAACAAAACGAAAGAAACTCTGGCCCACACACCAAGGAATAGACAAATTGCAGAACAAGGAAGAATTTTAGACTTATGGTTGAGAATGCAGGTGAAGTAGCGGCGGCCGACGACAGGCAGGCTGGAGATGACGAAATTGCGTGTGGCTGCGGTGGTGCATCAGTGCTACGGTGGTGTATCAGTGCTACGGTGGTGTATCAGTGCTACGGTGGTGTATCAGTGCTAACTCTTATTTGCGGAAACCCGGGTCTAACCTAAATTACCCCAACATTAAACTTACCCTAGACTAATCTTAATATTACCCAAACATAAATTACTACTAAATTCAGTTTAAAGAATAGAAATACGATTAACGGTGGGAAATTTCCGACATATTAGCAATATCATAAACTTGAACCTGAATGAAAAATATTTTGTTTTTTAATGAATAAAATTGATTTTATAATTTCAAGGTGACTCACGACAAAGCTGCTTAATTGTCTTAATATAACATGAAAAAGTGTTAAAAAGTATTCGAACTTCTACGCCCCTGACAATCAGATCCGTATAACGATAAATAATCCCATATAATATTTCGGCACGCGTATCAGGTTTTGGAATTTTAATTGAAAATATTATCGTTTTTCCGTGTTATTTGATTCTAAAAGACGGATTTCCCTCGTCAGAAGGTTGGAAGCTCAGCTCCGTTATCGTGAACAAGCCAAGTTTCACGCTCGACAAGTTTATGTGACTTTTATCGATATTACGAAAAGTTTACGGCTTTTTAATGGCAGTAGCTTCGATATCGCATGTCGTAATTTACTTATTTTATGCTCTGTTGGCAATTTAAATTAAAATTTCAAAGTTTTCTATTCTCAGTTAAACCGTGTATGTAACTGGAAGTTAATTAAACGACTTAGGTTGCACAAGTTTTTGAAAATATTGCAAATGTTAATGAGCTTGATATAATATAATGTCGAACATTACAGGAAAATTCATGCTTCATTTCCCGAAAATTTACGTTTTACAATTAAGTTAAACAACTTAGAAGGAAACAAGAAACCGCAACATTGGAAATATTCTCCCGGCTTGCTGCAAACTGTCCTGAAACTTTAGGAGATTTCTTTGGTCGATGTGTTTGAGTTCAGGGACAGCTTCTATATACTCGCCAGAACCAACCACCAACTTCTTAAGCAAGCTCCTGTTGGCAGAGTTTTGCAGTGCGCATGTGGAATAACATTAGAACGACGACATTTGAAGAGTAGGAACACGATTTTTAGACTAAACTTCAAATCTCAAGCTTTAAATTGTTTTCATAGTGATAACGATCTATATATTCACATCAAATCTGTTAAAATATTTCATATTCAGATTTTGGACAATTTATTATTTATTATTAATCTTAGTGAATATTATTTCATTTAACTTATCTTCAGAGGTAAGCAATCTGATTAATAATGAATTCGGTGTCTCACATTCGAAGAAAAGATTTGCAAGTGGCCAAAATTAAACACAAGAAATTTCCAGTTGAATTAGTGTTGAAGGTATTTAATTTATTTTTTTAATAATATTTACCGTTATCTAGTTCGCGTATTGAAACGATATGATGAAATCGTCGTTCTGGAGTCGCAATAAGAACAGCGGTCAAATAATAGTTAGTCGAAGGCGGTCAAATAAGCACGCGGAGGGCGAGATGAAGAAGCTCCTGTATTCATTGTCGTGGCGACGAAGTTCATGCGTATTCATTGTCGTGGTTGAAGAGAGACTTTGTATTCGAGATACCAGGATTAAAGAGAGACTTTGTATTCGAGATACCAGGGTTAAAAAGAGACTTTGTATTCGAGATAGCAGGGTTGAAAAGAGACTTTGTATTTGAGATACCAGGATTAAAGAGAGACTTTGTATTCGAGATAGCAGGGTTGAAGAGAGACTTTGTATATGAGATACCAGGATTGGAGAGAGACTTTGTATTCGAGATACCAGGGTTGAAAAGAGACTTTGTATTCGAGATACCAGGATTGGAGAGAGCCTTTGTATTCGAGATACCAGGATTGAAGAGAGATTTTATATTCGAGATACCAGGGTTGAAGAGAGACTTTGCATTCGAGATACCAGGATTAAATAGAGACTTTGTATTCGAGTTCCCTAAGTGTCACATTCCTGGAAATCGAAACAGTTTTTCTTACTAGTTTTAGCCTAAAAATATGGTTAATTAATATATCTTTGTAATTGCGTATCTTAAAATTATAATCTGTCGGTCGTGTCAATATAATAGACGCGACCACTGAGAGTTCTAGCCCAGACAAGGCACAGAAAGTATGTGCAAGATAAGACCTTATGACCTTATGACCTTGTGATGTGTTCGGGACTTCCTAGTCCCCGGTCACGCTGATGCGCCGCCTTCGTCGTCCTCCGTCTCCGAGTCGTCGTCGGATGTAACGTTGGACGTGTTCCGTCTATTTGCCCTCCTTTGGGCCACCTGAGGCAAGATGCTGTTGCTTGTCACTTGCTGAGGGTAGTTTCCCATTACTGGACCATCCGGGATCTTTCTTAACCACTTGTCCAGTCGTCTCTTGAATGTTGCAAGGGTAAGACATCCTACGCTGTATCAGGCCCGTTTGACCAACTCTCGTCTTACCCCTGCGATTATCAAGCGTCCTGGAATTCATGAGGTATACGGTGAACGGCGGCAGCATCTTACTTTTATCGTGTCTTCGAATATTCCCACGAGACGCCTATTGTGATCAGGCTTTCCACTACCTCAAATCTGAACACACGTAATAATAATATAATAATAGCGTTTTCAGCGTTTATAAGGTCGTAGGCCTGTCGCCGATTCCTAACATCGCAGAACATTCACAGCAAGTTGCGGTCTCAAATCGCAACTCACTGCTACAATTCTGCTGTACTTAAACGCCCGGCCTCCTTGCCGATTCTGACCAGAAACTGGCGCACAGAGCTGGGATCGAACCCGCGCCTCTCTGCTCCAATCTTGGTACTCTGAACTTTAACCACTAGGCCACCCTGCTCTCTCTTCAACCCTGATAACTCGAATTCGCATGCTACAGATAAATTCATCTGTCACGTTTTTTCAGTTTGTCAATTGTCTAAAATTCTTCATGGGGTAATTTAGTTTTTTTCACAGGAACGACCGTGGCGGTAGTGACTGCGCACGACGCAGACGACCCGCATGAAGGCGACAACGCCCGCCTGTCGTATTCGCTGCTGAAGAACGTCATTGATGAACGCTCCCGCCTGCCTATGTTCACAGTTGACAGGCAGACGGGGGCTCTGCGTACGGCCGTCTGCTGTCTAGACAGGGAGCACACGTCGTCTTACGGGCTTGTGATTGCTGCTACTGACGGAGGAGGTCTTCAAGGTTCGTTCTCCGTAAACGTCATTTATTTAATGCGATATGTAACGTACTTTATAGACACTTAGAACTCGTGCATGTGTGCCTGTAGCCTTTCATATCCTCCGCTCCATCTTAGATGCTAACCTTGTTCTTCACATTCAGCTTCCTGCCACTGGCCATCTGTAGGCTCCCGCTTCATGTGAGAGATGAATGTTTTCTATTTAATAAATGACATTATTTAATATAATGATGGTCGACGCCTCCCACCTTGTCTCTGAGGGATATACTGGGACTTACGATGCGAGATAGCTTCGTTGCTGGAGCTCTATTATAATCATTGTGTTCATTATAGAAATGTCTGAAGTGCATTTTTATTATATTTTTTAATCCAAAAGTTCTATGCCCAAGCAAGTAAAATTTTATATTTTAAAATCAAATTTAATCTCGACGTTCTGCTGCAAAATCTGCCGGTTTTTTAGTCGGGACTCTGAAAGTTTCTGATTTTGATAGTTGCCTTCAGGCACCGTCTAAAATAATCCAGAAGAAGTAACTCCGCGCGTCCGCTCCTCAAAAGCCGCTTGCTCAACTCGTATGAACGTTCCCGGCGCTGCTCACCGAAGATTATATCGAGTCTTGTAAGATCTTTCTATAGGATAACCGGATTATTAACAAGCTATTCCCAAGAGGACCTAAGGCTGGAATCACAATCACGGCAGCTCTGTTAAATGAACTGAAAATTTTACGAATTTTCATCCTGAGAATCATGGAACACTGAAAATTCGAAAAATGGAACATTGAAAAAATTGAAATTAGGAACAGTCGTCATCTTTGAAAAATCACTAAACTATTTAATTTTTCATATTCCTTGAATTTTGTGAGTGATTCGTCGAACTTTTTTTTCGATAGCCAGTTTAAATTCAGTTTTTAACTCGCGCTCCATACTTGTGTGGAAACAATCAGCTTATCTCCGATTTTACATTTGCCGAAATTTTCAGTACTGCCTGAAGCTCAAAATATTCTCGAGATCCACTGTGCGAATAAATGCTGTATCTATTGTATTTCTCATTGGTAATGCCGGAATAATTTGCCACGTGTATCTATTATTTATTTTTTTTTTCTTACCTTTTTTGTGTGATTCCATCACAATATTTCGTATATTTGCGGTATTCCCGCGGATTTGAAGCGCATAATTCCACAATTTTTGACGCCCGTCTTGGTACCGGGTGGGAAGATGTCTGCTGGACTGACACGAGCTGCTGTGCTTCCATTCTTTGCTGGAAGAAAGAAATGTAAAGAGGAGCAGCATTTGTCTGCTAAATACATCCAATGTGCTGGGGTGCCTTCAGATGAAATGATATTACGGGTGATAATATAAATATATATAGTTACATGAATTGTTGGTGTCTCGAGATAAATACTCAATACTTTTTTTCTTAATTGAGAAACATAGAAGAGTTTTCAATTACTTCTTAATACCATATGATGGCTCACTCTCTGAATTCAACGCAGTCATTAAAATATTGGACAAAAGTTTAATACCGTTCACATATTTTTCTCTATTCATATAGAAGGAAAATTCATTATTACCGAACCAATAATGACATTAATATAATTTTTTACGCCACCACTTCTCCAAGCGTCATTTATGGGAATTGTTTCCCTGCACTGCTTCACTTCCTCCTGATGGATCGATGTGATTTTTATAAATATATACAAATTAATCCTAAGTTTCTTCTGATATTTGTGATTTTTATCCCGGGGCCCAGTTAAGAAGTAGAAGATTTTTTCTTTCCGGTTAAGAAGTAGAACAAATAAAGTAGAAGAAGTAGAAGAAGATTTTTTGTTCCCCAGTTAAGAAGTAGAACAAATGAAATTTTTGTTGTTTACAGTCAGATTCAAGAAATAAATGTGTACTTCAAGAATGTACGCATAAATGCGTCAGATTCAAGAAATAAATGCGTATTTTTGGCGTACGCCAAAAATGTCCACCATGTCCAAAAATGCAATTAATTTTTTCCTGGCATTGCTGTTGTCGCCTGTCCGTCGTCGCAGCTGACCGGCCAGCTTAATAATTTGTAAGGAATTTGTGCGAGATTGTGATGCAGCTTTTCTCGAGGAAAAATTCTACCTCTAAACCATTCGGTTTCCCGAGTGAAGAGTTCAACTGCTTCATTCATTTGAATACCACTACGTCCATCCGTATTATAATCGGCGATCCGTCGAATCAGCTCATTTTTAGCACTTGATTATTTCATAACAAAGGACGTAAATTTTGTTAATTGTATGCTTAACAATGGAAACGTCCCTATGCTGTCGCCTTTCTTTCGCCAGCTTGTTGGTTGATAAGTTGAGATATTTTTCGGATCATTATCTGTAATTATGCGCATGATTCGCTGGATAACGACGACCGACTCTTACTTGGAATTTTTTTTAATTTAATTTAATTCAATTTGTACATTTATAATTCCTAGATATATGCAGCGTACCAGCTACCAGCAACAGGCCTCCCATACCTTCCTCATCATCTTCAACATAACGATGGCACGCTAAATAACGGCAGCTTTTCTCCGAAGCGTTTTTTACTATATTGCAAGCGGTGCGTGTGAATTTAGTTCCTTTATGACTGCAGCAACTTGGGTTTTGTTGACATTTGCTCTGACAAAGCCTTGTTTTTTACGCAGCGTCTTTGGCGAAGAGCAAAGCTCTCTTTAACATAGCGCCCCGCACTAACGAAACGCCAGTTAACATTTCCCTTGCGACCATAAAATTGTGTTGTCCCGTAAAGTCTAAACTTCCAGTTTATTCTAAAAAAGTCTGCAGATGGCAGTACAAGTGTCCATTTTTGACATTTCTTTCCTACACATGATCCCAAATAAAACATGTTAGGATTCCCAGTAGTTTTTGACTGACTACAATTAAATCACATTAATTTTATTAAAGATTAACTTTAACAATACATTTGATTATCCCCTAAAACACTAAGTTAGCATACGATGTGATTTAATTATCGTAGAACATCGCTAAGGAATAGAAAATCATTACGTTGCTGTTTGTTCAGGTACTTGCACCGTTACCGTAAACATCGACGACGTCAACGACGTTCCTCCTTCCTTCGTGCGATCGCACGTCGATGTCTTGGTCCCCGAACATCGTCAACCATCTTTCCAGCGTTCTTCGTCCCATGGAGCATCGCCATCCAACGGAGCACCGTCATCGTCCGACGTTTCGTCCGACGGAGTTACCTCGTCTAAAGAAGTCACGTTGCCCAAAGAAGAACTATCATCCAGCGCAATGTTGTCTTCCAACAGAGAATTTCCCTCCCGCGGCCTTCCATCGTCCAAATCTCGCAGCAACGTCTCTGAAAATTTCATCTCGACTCTCGCGGTGACGGATCCTGATACAAGCAACGTGTTTGCTTATCGGGTAATTGGTAGTTTTCGTCATAGGCAGTATGGTAAGCTTTAATTAATAGATATCATTGCATTAAAATATTTTGAAACCCTTTAAAGGCCAGCAGGAAAATTAGTGCAACCAACCAAAGTAAAATGATCGATATCGAGCTCGTGGCAAGTACATGAGTTGGTTTGTTTTTAAATAAATCAATTTTACATTCAGTCTTGTGCGAAGAAAAGGTGTAAGCAACGTAAATGTTTTATCGACAATAATACCTGCATTTGATACATAAAAAAAAACATAGCAATAGTTGTCTAGGTTATTGACTCATATCGATCGAAATACAGTCTCTTGTTCGCACTTACACTCCCATGACAGGTGGTGCCAGGGAGCGGTCACGGCTGGCAGCTGGTGGAAGTGGCAGCAAGCACAGCTGGTGCAGACCTGTTCTCTAGAGTGCCGCTGGATTTTGAGAACCCACAGCACAGAGCGGGACTCAACTTTAGAGTGCAGGTCACCGATCAGGTGCGTCGTCATGTGTCTGGTTGTCCCTCGTTGAGTTCAGTATGCGAATTACTGCGATGCATAAATAATAAAGAAATTGGTACGTGCGTGATATCATGTGTAAATTCTTATGTGCAAAAGAATTAATCATTGTTTTAATAATTATGTGATTATCAGATGAATTCTTCCTTTTCTTAATTCTGAATTTCAAAAGCCTTCTTCATCATTGGAAAGTGTATTTCATTGAACATTCAATTAAATTTTACCTTTAATTTTTTTGGTATTGTTGCAAATAAATCCTTTAGTACGATAATAAATAAAATTCGGTCATGAAATTGTATAGTTTTAAAATTGTTTCTGCTTACACGAATAATTAGCCTTTGTATCTTCTAATATTTAAGATTTTCATTAATAATTAAAATATAGTGCGTGGTCATTTAACCTAATGATTTTTACGCTAAGAATTTACTGATTCACTGCCATGCAACCATCACCTGAAAATGGGTGCCCTTGTAAAACCTCGAATCCTTTATTGAAACAATGCGATTAGATTAGAAGCAGATCCCTTAACTTATTTTTTATCAAATTCTTTATTTTAAATTGCGGGATTATTTTTTCGTGATTCTAGGAATATTGAGAGGTTCTCTCAGGGATCGGACACACATTTTAAAACAATCTCAAATCCTCCGTAGACTTTCGACTCCACTTGTTTTGGCCATTGTCGATATCGTTTTCCTATTGGAGCTTCCATGCGGTGCTCAACATCAGACCACCAGACGGATCGGACCTTGTCGGAGTTGGCAATTTTTCTTCACACGCCACTCTCTTCAGAAACTCCGTTACTAGATTTATATTCGACCAAGAGTAGTTGAAAGATTCTTCGCAATTCGAAATATTTTCTGAACATAGTATTAGGACAAAACGAGTATCAAGATGTATGAATTAATTATGTAAATTCCCTTTATATTAGTTTACTTATTTCCAATAAAAATAGCGCTGGTAATTTAGTGTTTACGTGGATTGTACAAGATTAACAATTTCGAAATATAGTCATTTGCTCGAGATCGGTCAACTGGCGGTTACCTTGTCTGTAACACGTCTCTACGGATATGTTAATGATTGTCTCTACTGCTATTCATATCTAAAGACACCCGTGACTCTCTATCTCTCTGGCACCCGTGACTGTAGGGCGACATGCCGTGGAGCTCGCACCCCCGCGTGTCGGAATGCTCTGTCACGGTCACCGTCCAGGTGTTCGCTGGTCACGGTAACGATAGATGGTTCGCTGGTCACGGTAACGATAGTTCGCTGGTCACGGTAACGCATGTTGATACGTTGTAATCAATGAACTTAGTGCTAAAGGGAGACGTCTTCTACTAATTGAAGTATCACGGTTGCTTCTAGTTAAATGTCCACGTTAAATCCTAAGTTGATGACCTTTAACACCTTCTAATTGAAGATTCATTGTATCTTATTGCTTAAGGCTATAAATAAATTTTAGTTAGAAGTTCAAGGTCATTTTTTGCCGATCAAGGAGCAAGATTCAAATAGCCATATTACATCCGATTCACATAAAAAAAGAGTCAACTCTGAACCTCCATTCTATTGTAATCCTTATCGACTTTAAATTCACACCTATCGGCACCTCAAATTGGTTCAAATTATAACTTGACTTCCGACTGATTCTCAATTTAATTTTTTTCTAATCGTATTTTATTTCTTATTATTTATCCCTACTCGCATCTAAAATTATTTCAAATCGTACCATGAATTATAACTCTAATTCATGTCAGTGCATTTAAAACGCGCGGCGTTCTGGTGCCTCAGGTGAACGTCGACGACGTGAACGACAACCCTCCCTTCCTGCTGGGGGGGTCCAGAGTGCAGCTCCCCCCCATGGCAGGGGGCAGCGATGGTGGAGGGCTGGGGTTGCCTGCAGGGTCAAGGGTTCCCTTCACCTTAACCCTAGACGACCCTGACGACTGGCCTCAGGGTCATGGCCCGCCCTTTCATCTCGACCCTCATCTCACGGCTGATGCTGGGTACAGGGTTAGCTTCTACCCTGGTGAGTAAAGTCAACCAGGTTTTGATGAAACATTTTATCAGTATTTGTGATCACCTAGTTCACAGAACATAACTGAGTAGTTCTATTGTAGCGAGACTTTGTTATTATTGTACTAATGTTAATGTTTTGGCCGCACTTAAAACGCTGAGCGTTCCAGTTTTGCCAGCCGCGTTGTACCGCTCCAAGCGACTAGAAATGAAGATGTTAACACGTACCTTTCTTCGGAAGTAACAGCGAAGTAACCAGTAGCCAGACACCAACCTTTCTCTAATTGTATCGAGAATCATTACGCTAAAGTCAGCTAGTCGTCGTTATCGACGTTCAAGTCCATTTGGATTTAATAAAGTTTTGAAATTCTTTTCAATTTCTTAATACCGTATATCTTTCAGCCTGAATTACGCTTTGATTTGTTTTAATCATCCAGTAAGGGCCCGCTTGTAGATACCCTGAAATATTAATGCAGCTCATTACCCCCGCTTCACTATTACAATTACTTCGTGTCGAGCGCTACTGAAGAAACACCATTGATCAGGACGAGCGTCTGCTGGTGGAGGAGTTGTGGTGGCAGCTGAACTGCTGACACTGAGGCCACTCAGTGCAGCTGTGTCAGTGCCACTGACATTGTCAGACGCTGGTTCACCGCCTATGCGACGGCAGATGACGCTGACTCTGGTACCTCACTCAGCTGAGTCAGCTCATCGAAACGTCAGCCTCGTTAAGATTGCCACCGTCGTGTCAGCTCACGTGAGTATATCTCATGCCTGGCGTTATTGTTACTGATAATTGACGTTTATATTGCTGACGAGGAACACTAATAGTCATGGCTGTCATGAGAGTAGCTCACAGTTATGAATGTAGATTATATAGTTATGAGTACAGCTAACAATGGCAAGTACATATAACTGTTGACATGAGTACTTAGTACTGATGACATTATTATCTAATTACGATTCTCTAATTAATTATCAGTGAGTTGAAACAGATCTTTTGAGATAGTTTCATTACTCATATTATTGTAACATTGTAATTATTTATCACTTCTTTGTTATATGAATATGGAGTTCAATATTTAAGAACATTTTGCAGGCGGCCCCTCCAGCTCCCCTCGGGCGTCTCCCTCGCCTGCCCTTCCCTGGCGACGCAACGCAACGCCACGGAACCGACACTGAAACGGATAATGTATCCTCACTATTCAGGGATAAATTCAGGTTCAACTTCTATGAACCTGACCCTGTTACTGGGAAATCATTGGGTAATTCTAGCCGTGGATTAGATAAATTCAGCGCTCGAATTACATGGCAGGGAGCTAATTCAGGAATCCGTCTGGATAGCGACTCAGGATCGTTGCTACTGGATCCTGCAGCTGGGCTGGGACGGTGGGTGTATTTATGAATATTTTTAATGTATATTAACTATTGAATTAAAATTTTTGTTTATTCAAATTATTTGCTTTCCACAGTATCATGTAAATTGGCGCGTATAGCATAAGGGCGAGCACTATTTTTTATGTAGCCTGAAATGAATTCTTTGATGTGTGATGAGAACTTTACTGCCCCATTCATACTCAAAAATGTGTCCTGTCAATATGCTGATCAGAATTTCACACGGCAATAACTTCTCAATCCAATACTTCGAAAAAGTTTCCGTTGCTATGCGCCTCCGCTTGCCCCGCTTTGTGCTCGAGTTCTTATTTGCAGCTGTTAAGATTGCAGTCTATCTCGAGAGCCACGGCGCAGTTGTGCTTCAACAGCTTATTTTATTTCGTGGAGATCACATCTTCGACTTGTGTTCACTTGCAGACATGAAGCAAAGCTGCTTCTCTCGTCAGCGTCGGGCGAAGCGCACGAGCTGACTGTTTACGCTGACGTCAGCAGCGTCGGAGTTGCTGACGCGCTGAAATCTACACCAATCGATCTCGCCATCTTGCCTCACGAGCTCCTGACGAATGCTGACGCTGAAGTGAGTGATGACTTTGATGTAGTCTACGATGAGAATTTTGTCATTGACCGTTTTAAATTTTACAATTATCGCCCTGGTAACTCTGTTGTGAACATTCCAGGAACCAAACTCAGAATCTCCTCTGGACCGACTCCTGAGGCTGCTGAATCAGCATCTTGCAGACTACTCAGAATTATCAAGGGCAGACTCCCCAAAGTCGCACGATATGTCAGCCCATCGGCCACACGTCATGGTTGTGGCTGTAGAAACCATACGGCGCAACCATGACAGCCACACCAGAGTGTGGCTCCTTCAACAGCCACCTGAAAGGCACCTCAGATTTGCCCTGGAGCCTCTAATATTCCAGCATCAACATAAGGTGAACTAAAATAATAGTCTCGAAATAATGAATAACTTGCTTTGATTTATGCAAAATTTAATGCCCCTACGCTTCTAAGTACGGTCGTGGCACGGCAGATCGAGGCCGAAGTCGGTGCTGCTGTGTTGGGCGCGGGCGTTTCGACGCTGGGCGACTGCGCGTCTCGACGAGTTGCGTGCCGCTGTTGCTGCCGCGACCGCGCGGCGCTGGACCAGCGCTGGCACCTCGCGGATGCCGGCGCTCGCAGCCACGCCGGGCCTTCCCTGCGTATAGAATCTTTGTGCAGGTGAAAGAATACACCTGTGCGTTTGTACCAAAAAAATGAAATAATGTTTTTTTTAGGGTTGAAAATGCTTTATTTTATTTCGTTTATTTTAAAATAGTGACATTTTTTTCGCAGCTTTGTTATGAAAAAAAAACGTCATGTTTACTCGCATTTGTGCACATCAAAAACGAAACTCACTCTTCGTTAATTGGGACTATCGAACAACTTCGAAGCTAATAGTTAAATACTACTCGTACCAAATCAAGATCAGTATATTGATATCAATCTATTTGAAAAAAAGCTATTGCCTAATTCACACTACCACCTTCGGAACAATTCTAAAAACGTTAAGGGTCTCATAATTCTTCAAACAAGCCCGAAATCTTTCGAATTTTTAATATCGTCAGGAATTCTAACCTATTTTTAAGTCAATCAATAGTGCCTGTATTGGTCGTTTTACCTGATATTCAAAACACTTAATTTCACGAAAAACGGAAAGATCAGCTAAGAAGTTCACTAATAATTATATAACGTACACAAACTTTACAAGAATGAGCATCATCTAAGCTGTATTTATATAAACCCACGATAATGCTCACTTCTTCTAAAGCACCACACGCTGTTCAGGTGTCCAGTGCAGGACGGCGCCGAAGAGGAGCGCGGGCAGCTGGCTAGCCTGACTTCGGCGCACGCGGTCACCGCCGGGCTCGAGATCTGTGAATGTGGCCCCGATATCTGTGGATGTGGCCCTGAGATCTGTGGATGTGGCCCCGAGATCTGTGGATGTGGCCCCGAGATCTGTGGATGTAGCCCCGAGATCTGTGGATGTGACCTTCAGATCTGCGGAGGCTGCCTCAAGTTCTAAAGAAACGGTAGAACTTACACAGAATTCTCCAGATGCGGCTAAAAAATTGCGCATATCTTCACAAAATTTCGTCGAGGGCAAAACTCAAGCGTCTACTCACAAGCAACGCGAGTCTCTATCACTAACCCGCCACTCCAACTCCCGGCCGCTTGTCTCTGGGAAATCGGACGAACCTCGGCTCCCTGGCTTCAAATATTTCAGATTTTCCCGCAAGAAACGATCTCGGTCTCACCGCAAAAGGAGGAATAGAGTCGAGCTGGATGGCGGCAGCTTGTGGAAGGATTTTAATAATGGTGTAATGAGTGGAAATGTTTGTGTTCTGTCTGTAGAAAACGTTTGGTTGCATGCATTCATGAATGCATTATATCATTGGTGAATATTGAGGAATGATGATGAGATATAAGTACAAATAGGGTTTGGCTGAAATTCAATTTTGCATTATCTAATTCGATTTTTAGTTTACATGGAATTGTAATTAACCCAGATTAATTTCATATAGAAAATCAGAAACTCATAATATATATACATTTATAATAAAAGCTCTTATGGTGCCACATATATGCGCTCCTAATAATTCCCCTTTTGAATATACTTTGAATTAAATATACTTTTTCTGCCAGGCTGTTTGTCGGCCGTTCGCGTCTTTGGACATTTGCTGCCCTTGCCTGAAATTGTCAATAATAACCACAGCAGCAACAACAGCAACAAGAACACGAGTAATTCAGCTGGCTCAGTAACGTCTTTTGCAAACGTCATCTCGGGATGCACGTCGCCGTCTGTGTGCACCAACACCAGCTGTCCTCCTCCTCTGACCTGCGGCCACAGCTGGGGCCTCAACACTTGCGGGTTTGTAGGAGATTTGAATCTTCATTAATAAAAAAATTTCCCTGGTGGTTGATTGGTGTTGCTCCGTAACTTTCTCACTCGAAGCCAGAGGTCTTACAGATCAGTAGGTTACTCTAGTAACGATCAAAGTATATTTTCAGATTGTGTTTCCACTATTTCATTTGCATCCCCTTCACCCCTCTCATTTTCGTCCCTTTCTTTTATATACCCAGTTAATTTCCCACTTGAGCAATAATCTACCAACTATGGGGGAATTATTCTCTTATCGATTGAATTACAAGCATCAGATTATTTTCTATATTTCCCTATCATTTACACTCCCTTCTGACGAAGTTTGCATTCTCGATAGCCAATTACTCACTCAGCTGAACAAGAACCGTAATGCCGTTCATCAAATATCTTCTCTACCAACGTATGAGCAATCTAATCCTTAATCTCACATTTTCTCTATCAACAACTTTAATTTGTATCTAAAATTGTGCGCCATGGCGTTGCAGGTGCGCCGCTGGCGAGGAACTCTCGCGTGACGGCACCGCGTGTTTAGACGTCGACGAATGCCGCTACGACCCTTGCCTCAATCTGGGCGTGTGTGTAAACACTCATCCTGGTGAGTTCATTACTTGGATAATTCATTCCTTTCACTCATGTCTTGTATGATCGCATCCCGCTATTTGTTGTCCACACCATTTATTTGTTTTGAGTTTTGCCTCGCATCTGCCAGAACCAATGTGCTTGGGTCCATCAGAACTTTGAGTTCATTCATTGAACTAAACTCGATTAAAATGAAGCGCTCAATCTTTTAATTTGAACCGTTCAAATTTTACTCATATTGGTGAAATAAAGTGTCATTTCCTGGAATGCTTCAAAATTCAGCTGTGACATCATAATTTCGAATGGGATAAGATTTTGTTGTCGCTTTCAGTGTGATTATATATGAATTTTATGATTACAGATCCGAATTCAGTGGAATGTCTATAGTGCTTTGTCTATGGGTCTCCCAGCGATCAATTTATCCGACATCCGCAAGTGTACCCTTAGTGGTCTTGGCAATAAATGCGGGTCATCATTTTTATACATCATTTTACAATAAATTAATACGCATTTCATGAAAGTTTTTCACTTTTGATAGAAACAGTCACATTATAATTAAACTCATTACATCGGTCATGAATATTTACGTTGTTATTCGATATGTTAATATAATTATTTTTAAGCCGAGGCCTATTAATAAAACTTCAGTGCAAAGTACACTCATATATCCAAACAATGAGCTTCTACGGACAAAATTTCATTATTCTGTGCGGTGTACCTTCAATCAGATTACAATTCCTCTATCCAATGAATATTGAGCTCCGCTGCGCGCCTCCGTTTACTCCGATAATTTGCCGCGGTCAGGGTACCGCTGCGTCTGCGGACCGGCGCACCGCGGAGAGCACTGCGAGTGGGGCGCCGCCGGGGCGCTGGAGGCTCCATACTCGCTTAGCATTCTGGTGGCTTCAGCTGTCGCCTCAGCAGCTGCACTGTTGCTCAGTAATGTTGCTCGGTTCCGCTATTTTTATTTTCATACTTTCTGATTGGTATCTAGTTTTCTTTGTGTTTTTTTGCTATTCCAAATTTAATCTATCGTTTCGAAATCTCCACAGTTTTGACATTTTTAAAGAACCTTTAACATCTTGGCAAACGATTGTTTCATAAGTTGCATTAGTGTAAGGAATATTGTCCCAATGTTACGTCGATTTTAGAACATGTCAACTTCACAATTTTCGGAGTATAACAAATTTCCATTAGCAACCGTAAATAAATTTGATGCCAACGACACTTATCATTCCTTTTCAGTTATCGTAAGCTGTGTCCTATGCCTCGTTCTGAAGAAGAAACATCGACAGAAATCTGCGCGTTGTTGCAGTGAGAGCGACGCGCGGGACCGCCGAGCGAACGCCAACAAAAGACGCGCGTCGCCAGCTTCGACCATAGACGGTCTCGCGTCTCTGTCCGAACTCGCGGAATTATCGCCAGGGTCTTGCCCTTTGATTCCTTCTAATTCCTCGTGCCATCTGGGAAGCAAGGGGGAATCGTGTTCTGAAGAGCAAACTGCGCAAAAAGATACGTCGGTGTCAGTCATTGGGAACTGCCCACCTCGCATATCCGTTGTTGGTGAGATTTCAATAAATGCAAGTGAGCTCACTGTAATTTCTTATTCAAATTCAAATATTTATGAAAAGCTTACCTTATTACAGTAAGATTTTCTTTCATCCAAAAAACTGTTATCTCGTTTGCAAGTTTTTAAATCCATAATTTTCGACAGGTATGGACCTCGTTAATCTACCTCCCCCAACTGGCGGGTCCATCGACATGGAAGACCCAGACATACTTCTCCCTCCACCGCCCCTGCACTTCAACCCCAGCAGCACAACCTTCGGGTTTGATGGTGGAGGCCTGAACTTCAGAGCAGGTTCGTTCTATTCGGATACCGGGATAATTGGCTGGGAAAAAGTGGATGAATTGAACCAAATATTGGAGCATAGACAATATTGCAGTAAAGTTATACCAGCAATTATTTATAAGTACTTCATATATATGAACAGGAAGCTTGGTAAAGTCTTTTGAGTCACGTTCAACGTGAAATTCTTGTATTTACTAGGAAAATAATTATAAATGATGAGTAGAGTGCCAAGTAATCGGTGTTGGAGCCTTAAAAGAACTGCTCAAAAAAGGTACACTTGAATTAGCGCCAAGCTACGGTGTCAGAATGATGTAGTGGGAAGGTTTCTAGAAATTTAATTTAACTTTAACTATCGATGCTGGCGCCGGTAATAATTAGGTACTCGTATCCGAAGATCTGCGTCGTTGCTGAGCATTCTGCGCAGCCAAAGCGAAAAAAGGTGAATGCTAATGCTGTATCATTTATTATATCTTATTAAAAATGCACTGCCATTGTAAGACTGCGTTTTAATTCTGTAATATCTTCATTGCAGGTTCCCTTCAATGACACGAGTGAAGAATACTTGGTTGAAAACGTCAACTTTTTTCATAATAACACTTTCAATGTTATTATGAAATATCATATTTTTCAACCGAATAATAAGCTGATTTTCATTTACCTTCCTCTCGTGTATAATATAATTTTTGCCGTAAAAAATAAAGTCCTATTTTTGCAAGTTTGTTCTTTGACAGTAAAACTCTTGTCGTGGAAGGTGTCGATTTAATAAAATAACAATTGATGGTATAAGTATCCAAAGATACATAAGTGCCTAAAATTCGACACGAGCCTTGCATGGTGCACCTTAGATTTGCAGGAACGTAGTAAATCAAACTATCAACTAATGAATGAAAAAAGGTTCTTGTGTTCCTATTTATTCAATTTCCTTATATAGCCTTTGTGCTCAGGAACACCCCATAAAACTTGTCGCAGTTGGCACACTACTTTGATCTAAAAGTGTTTTGCTTTGGTGCTGCGGGTTAATACACTTATGACGCTGAAGTTTACTGCTCATATATTGAGCGAATATTTTATGAAACTGTGAGTATGAGGGCGCATAGGGACAGAGAGACATATATGGTGTCATATTGTATCCCTGCCAGGTAGGCTACATAGCAGTGGCGTATTTAAATACGATACCAAATCGGGCGGAACGTGAAGTATGGATTAAAGAGACTATTCAAGGCTGCAACCAGGCCGCGAGAAGAAGTACAGAACTAAACAGGCTCATTCTAGACATTAATGCAAGAAATATTTTATGTTTTTTTCTACCAGATTGCGAATGATGAATTTTTTTCATTTGTCTACTGCAGTTAATTTTTATTCTTGATTCAGGTGATTTATTTTCACTAATTTACCTAGGTATCATTTTATGTTCTTGTTTCTGATTTATTCTGACATATAATATGGCATGAGGCAAACAACCTATGAAATGGAACAACATTTAAATAATAATAATAATAGTTGTTAGCGTTGCTAGTTAGGCCCATACGCCTGTCGCCAATTCTTAACACCGCAAAATTTTTCACAGTTTGTTGCGAGTCTCGAACACGCAAGTAACTCACTGCTCCAGTATCCCCTGTGCTTGACCACCCAGCCACCTCGCTGATTTTAACCTGAACTATCACAGGAAGCTGGGGTCGAACCTGCACCTCTCTGCTCTAATTCTCGTACTCGAAACTGTAACCACTGGGCCTCTCTACCAATTTTAAGCAATTGAAGCGGTATTTTACCTCTGGAAACGGAACGCATTTCTCTGGCAAATGAAATTTAATTCTAAGATACTTGACTTGTTATTCAGCTTGGGTGGAGATGGATTGATTTCCGCTTGGTTACAATTGTGGGAAATAAAGTTTTTTTTTATTATCAGTTCCTACTTGGAAAATTGGATCAGTGACTCCATAATGCTTTCCCTAACTCGACAGTAAATTACATCGAGTAGGTGAGTGCTTAGTAGTGTCTGAATTTCTTGTAGTTATATACGTGAATCAAATGAAAATTCTAAATATCCAAATCCCTCTTATTGGATTTGAAGATTGTCGCTATGCACGAAGACGAAAACGGCATATTGATTGTACAAAAAGATTGTTGTATTCGTCTGAGCGCTTTCATTCGATCTTTAATAAACTTGTCTGATAGACTCCTGCGTCTCGAAATAATTTTCTCGAAATGAACCGGGACAGACGAAACGAGACGAGAAAATTCCGGGAAAAAATAACGGGACAGAGGGTAAAATTTGTCCCGGAATAAACGTATGAACCGAGACAAGACTTCTGTCCCGGACTTAAAAACGTGTGTCCCGGTAAATTATGAACCGGGACGAGACAGACAGATTTGAAACGAGACATAACGAGACGAGACGAGATTTGTCTTAATTATTTAAGACAAAACAAGTTTTTCGATTACGATACGAATTATTTCAATGACATGGGTTAAAGACTGACAAGTTAGCCCTTTATTGCTAATAGGGCCATAGACGGTTACCAGTTAAATTGAGTTAATTGCAGATTTAGCAAAATTTGTCTGACTAACTGACATGGCAGTTAATTAGTGGTACGACAAACACAGCAAACCTGTCTATGTATGCATGGCTGAGTATTGAGTCAAAAATGTTACTCTTAAGTCTTAACTAAGGCTTCGATGGCACTTACGGGAACCGTACGAATATGAGTCGAGTTTATTACGCGTTCGGAACGAGTTGAGGCGCCGTGGAGCGCATAGGGAGTAGGGACGCAGTGTCTAGATTAGTCGGCCAATTAGTAGACAGTGTAGTGGAATCCTGGTAAGATATTCCTAATAATACTAAAGCTAGTATTAGATTATCTCTGCCTTTAGTAAAATTTTGTGCTACGCCTCCAGGAAATCTTCACAATTGCGCAGTTTCCTAAATTGTTATCAAACACTTGGGCTTGTTTAACGTTATTTAGAAAGGATACACATGGATATTTCGAGTTCTTTTTCGAAGATCAAACTATTATATTTTTTCCAACTTAAATTTTGTTGTATTTTAAAACGTTGTTGATATTTCTTTCCCAACTTTTTGTCGAAGGAGATTGCTTAAGGCAAGATCGATGAATCTGATCCAGTGATTGAGCTGGAGGCAAATCAAAGTCTGTCCAGTCAGCCGATGTCACCAGCTACAGCTAGTATGGCCTCCTCCAAACCATCATAGAAAATAATTTAAAAAAAAACGTGTTTTTCCATTTGTATTTGCCTGTCAAGATTAAGTACCATAATAAACCACAATATGTATATTCGTAGCAAAAATCATTTCAATTTTCCGAGCTCCAATCCGAATAGTAAAAGGATACGTCTCAAGTTATTATTTAAATGCAGAGGTGGGCAGTAGCGCGCTACATGTAGCGGCCGCTACATTTTCAGTAGCGGTAGCGGCGGTACATTTAAGCAATTGTAGCGGTAGCGGTAGCGCCCGCTACATATTTAAGTAGCGATTCGAGGTTTTGCCGCTACAGCGCTACCGCTACATTTATAGAAATAGTATTAAATATTATTTAAAAACCAGCATGATACATTTATAATATAAATTACAGAATAAAACTGTAAGAAAGTTTTCGGTGTAATGTTGTCAACCTCAGCCTGTTACTAGTGTCAACATGTTAGTTGTTACCAGAGGTGGGCAGTAGCGCGCTACATGTAGCGGCCGCTACATTTTCGGTAGCGGTAGCGGCGCTACATTTAAGCAATTGTAGCGGTAGCGGTAGCGCCCGCTACATTTAGAGCATGTAGCGGTAGCGGCCGCTTTATTTCAAAGTAGCGCTGCCCAGCTCTGTATAAATGTATGATGGTAAGTCAAAGTTTATACCACATCAATAATAATTATTGATTCGTCTCATTATGTCTCGTTAAAATGGCTATAAATTCCGGGAAATTTTAAGGTGCCTATTTTAACCGGGATGTCTCGTCTCGGTATCGTGCCGGAATTCCTACAGAGGGCTGAAAATTGTCCCGGTTTTTATTGCGAACCGGGACAGAGCCTGTTGTCTCGTCTCGGAATAAACAAAATGCCAAAAGCAGGAGTCTATTGTCTGATTCACGCCATCGCCTCAGTTGTCGCCGACGACAACTCCACCCGAATGAAAATTACTTCTGCACAAAATGAAATTCGGGTCTAAAATTTTATGAACGATATAGATATTACGACTGTTAGTGATGTTCAAACCATTGCAGTGTTCTATTTATTCGTGTTCAAATTTAGGCAAACTAAAATTGTGCAGACTTGTTGACGTGATTGAGGATTTTCTTGGAATAGCTTTATAAAATATAAAGAAATTTCTGTATAAAATATACAGTAATTTCTGAATTTAATGTTCTGCTGATAACTTTCATGACTCCGTCCCTAAAATGAAAAACCTAGAGAAATTCATTCACTTCACATATTCAGCGGCCGTTCCACTTAATGAGTATCAGTTCAATTGTTTCAGAAAGAAGATTTCCTGACAACTTCCTTGTTTTAACTCAGAAATTTACCTTATGTTTCTAGTGTTTAAATTTTGATATTCACTCTCTTCACTTTTTTTCACTCACTATTTTTCAAATATTCACTCACTTCACTGTAAACCAGTACGTGGTTCGCAAAGTGGTCGGTGGAAAAACCTGGGGGGGGGGGAACTGTAAGGAAGAAAGGAGCGGTAGGAACTAGGGAGCCGGCAGTCTGAAGTTGAAGTCAGAAAATCGAACATTTGTTTGACGATTTGTACACAACACGTGCAGCACATGACTCCTAGCGATAAGTTTTTCCACCCAGATCTGAGTTTTTTTAACTTCTCCTGGGCTTACTTCACATTTGCGTAGCGGCTGTTTTCATTTCACGGGCATCATTTCAGACGTTTATGAATCCTGTTGTATGATAGTAACTTCTGTTACTTAAACCAGAATTTCATCGAATAAAACAAATTAATTCGCTTCACATTGGCTCTCGAAATCGACTTGATTCAATATCGAATTTCATCTAGCCGAAGGAATTTCCATTCCAACAGTCCTGTGGCTGAAAGAATTCCATAGACGTCTGTTGAGCCATTACAATATTATGTTTTCTGATGATTATCTTGATTCAACTCGAGATATCACCGAACTCATGGAATTCATCTACCAAATGCGCAGTGCCTGAATCAATTCAGCTTTCCCAGAATGGATTTTGTCAGTAATTTCAGTAATTCAAGAATTCAGTCAACAAACAGGCTCTATATAGAGTCTAGAATCTAGAAGGTCCTAGAAGATGGATGAATGGTAGCACTTGCGCCCACTTATCATACGCGAATCTTCTAGCAGGTTCTAGAAAAATCTAGAAGTTTCTACAAAAACCTAGGAGGTTCTAGAAAAATCGAGAAGATTCTAAAAATATCTAGAAGGTTCTAGAGAAAGGCAAATGAAAATCGCCGGTTTTATTGGTAGCAAGTATAATATTTGATATAAACATTGTACGTGTTAAGTGAACATTTTCAGTATTCTTCTTCACTCAGTTCAACGAATGGAACCTGAAATAAAGAATGTATATTATGAATTTCAATACAATAAAGCAATATTTCAAAGTGAGAGTATTCTTTGTATTTTTTACAATCCCGCGATCATCTCTGCCTATGGCATTTTTGCACAGTCAAAATTTAATTCCAATATCGAGCAGATAGGTACCTACTGTAGATAAGAATTCAGATCTCTCTATTACTGCACGTTTCAAGAGAAATTATTGAGAATTTTTTGCAGTATTTATCCACGAACCTGCTATGTGTTCGGACCTCCACCATCAAACCCGAAGGTTGTGCTGCTGGGGTTGAAGTGCAGGGGCGGTGAACGGAGAAGTATGTCTGGGTCTTCCATGTCGGTGTATCCGCCAGTTGGGAGAGATAGATTAACTAGGTCCATACCTGTGGTAAAGTAAGATGATCAAGTTAAAAACCTACAAGCGAGATAACAGTAACAGTTCGATGAAAGTAACTTTTAGTGTAATAAGAGTAGTTAGTTCGTTAATTGACCCAATTACTATATATCGCTTTAGGCCAAATATCTAGCGCTGACGGTCACGATGCGCATCGCGAGCTAAAAATAAAAATCGGCACATATGTTGGGGGTAAAACGGGCAATATTAGCAACTTGTTTTGGTGTAGCCAGGATACTTGTGTGCGTCGAGACAAACTCGGTGGAGATGAGGTCCGGGGCACTAGGCCATCTAGGCGAGTTCGAGTGTGCAATGGTATGGTGGATGCCCGACATGGTTCACCACAATTGGAGCATTTAGCCGGGCAGTGTCATGGCAACTCACGTGCATCATCTTCTCGCACATTGCGGTGGTTGCTCGACACCACGTTTTGGCTCCACGTTGAATCACTGGCGCATATGGCAGCGGAGTGGGCGAGAAATTAACTATTATTGAGCATCGGTACCTCAGCTCGTAGCTTGCACGTAGCACATACAGTGGGGGGAAATAAATATTCGTACACTTGAAAAATCGTATTTTAATGTATGTAAGTACACAAACTTAACAGGAAAAGTGATTTAAATTATGTATAGAGACGCATAGTATTCAAAAATACTATCAAAAGAAATTAAATCTCAATACTTTTTTGACCCGAAGAAGTTAACATGTTGCATTAATTTTTGTTGCATTGAGATTTAATTTCTATTGATGCTATTTTTGAATACAATGCGCCTCTATACATAATATAAATCACTTCTCCTGTTCAGTTTGTGTACTTACATACATTAAAATACGATTTTTCAAGTGTACGAATATTTATTTCCCCCCACTGTTTATTGGGAAATCCACCAATGCCCTATACATGAATTTATTAATTTGGTAGATTAATTTGCCAATAAAGTTGCTGAGATGCTTTTTTAATTTTTCGACTTGGGCTAATTTCATTAGCAACTTACCAGATCGTTTCCATTATTTCGTTTAGTGCTCCGTGAGTCTCGACGGTGACGGAAGAAGCTGCCAATAAATTCATGTCGATTACTGATCGACTTTGAGTTTTATTTTGTACTTTCACCGTGGGTGCTCCGTCGCGGGTCTGGTGCTCATTATTCGGCTCTCTCCCCAGTGAGTGATCAAGTAGAACAACGTCACTGGCTCTCAAGTCTTCACCCGTCGTCGATGAGATGCGGAAAAAGTGAGGATACTCTTCTGGCATCGACTGCGTTTGCCTTCATGTCTATTGTGTTCTGTGAGACCCCGAGGTTTCAAGGCACAGGTTAAACGGCTCTGATGCCGACATCGAAGAAGTAACATTGCTCGTCAGCGAAGTAGTGAGAAAAGATCCTGTCGTCAGAGGAGTATCAACAAATGGTAGGGTTCTCTGAGTGGCGAGAACTTGGCTTTAGATGCCTCTTTCGGAGTAGGTCTCCCTCTCTCTATCCAGGCTGGCTCAAGCTGGAAGAGGAACCCTCTACTACTACTGGACGAGGATCCGTTAACTACTACGGTCTCTCTGCTGTTAGGCAAGCGAACACCAATCAATAGGAGTACATATTATTACTCACCGACAGCCCGAAGCCACGGCAGCCCATCAATGTTACCTCAACCGTCGTGGTATTTAGAAAGCCCTCACAACACGGCAATGACATGGTAACACGAAGAATGTGTAATTAAGCAATCTTATCAAACAGAAATGCATACAACTGTAAATTTAAGCGAGCTCACTTAAAGTGGCAAATACTCACCAACGACGGATATGCGAGGTGGGCAGTTCCCAATGACTGATACCGAGGTCTCTTTTTGCGCAGTTTGCTCTTCAAAACACGATTCCCCGTTGGTTCGCATATGGCAGTAGGAAGAAGGAATCAAAGAGCAAGGCCTTGGCGATAATTCCGCGAGTTCGGACAGAGACGCGAGACCGTCTTTGGTCGAAGCTGGCGACGCGCGTCTTTTGTTGGCGTTCGCTCGGCGGTCCCGCGCGTCGCTCTCACTGCAACAACGCGCAGATTTCCGTCGACGTTTCTTCTTCAGAACGAGGCATATAAAACAGCTTACGATAACTGAAAAGGAATGATATGCGTCGTTGGCATCAAACGTATTTACGGCTGATAATGGAAATTTGTTATACTCTCGAAAATTGTGAAGTTGACATGTTCTAAAATCGACGTAACATTGGGACAATATTCCTTACACTAATGCAACTTATGAAACAATCGTTTGCCAAGATGTTAAAGGTCCTTTAAAAATGTCAAAACTGTGTGAAGATTGCGAAACGGTAGATTAAATTTGGAATAGCAAAAAACACATAGAAAACTAGATATCAATCAGTAAGTGTTGAAAATAAAAATAGCGGGACCGAGCAACATTACTGAGCAACAGTGCAGCTGCTGAGGCGGCAGCTGAAGCCACAAGAAAGCTAAGCGAGTACGGAGCCTCCAGCGCCCCGGCGGCGCCCCACTCGCAGTGCTCTCCGCGGTGCGCCGGTCCGCAGACGCAGCGGTACCCTGACCGCGGCAAATTATCAGAGTAAACGGAGGTGCGCAGCGATGCTTTATATTCATTGGATAGAGGAATTATAATCTGATAGAAGGCACACCGCACAGAATAATGAAATTTTGTCCGTAAAAGCTCATTGTTTGTAAACATGAGTGTACTTTGCACTATAGTTTTATTGATAGGCCTCGACTTATAAGTAATTATATTAACATATCGGATAACAACGTAATTATTCATGACCGATGTAATGAGTTTAATTATAATGTAAATGTTTCTATCAAAAGTGAAAAACTTTCATGAAATGCGTATTAATTTATAGTAAAATGATGTATAAAAATTATGACCCGCATTTATTGCTAAGACCACTAAGGGTACACTTGCGGATGTCGGATAAATTGATCGCTGGAAGACCCATAGACAAAGCACTATAAACATGCCACTGAATTCGGATCTGTAATCATAAAATTCAAATTTATTCACACTGAGAGCGACAACAAAATCTTATCCCATTCGAAATTATGTTCTGTCACAGTCGACTTTTGAAGCAGTTCAGGAAATGACACTTTATTTCACCAATATGAGTAGCATTTGAACATTTCAAATTAAAAGGTTGAGCGCTTCATTTTAATCGAGTTTAGTTCAATGAAAGAAATCGAAGTTCTGATGGACCCAAGCTTATTGGTTCAGGTAGAAATGAGGCAAAACTCAAAACAAATGAATGGTATGGACAACAAATAGCGGGGTGCGAACATACAAGACATGAGTGCAAGGACTGAATTATCCAAGTAATGAACTCACCAGGATGAGTGTTTACACACACGCCCAGATTGAGGCAAGGGTCGTAGCGGCATTCGTCGACGTCTAAACACGCGGTGCCGTCACGCGAGAGTTCCTCGCCAGCGGCGCACCTGCAACGCCATTGCGTACAATTTTAGATACAAATTAAAGTTGTTGATAGAGAAAATATGAGATTAACGATTAGATTGCTCATACGTTGGTAGAGAAGATATTTGATGAACGGCATTACGATTCTTGTTCAGCTGAGTAAGTCATTGGCTATCGAAAATGCAAACTTCGTCAGAAGGGAGTGTAAATGATAGGGAAATATAGAAAATAATCTGATGCTTGTAATTCAATTGATACGAGAATAATTCCCCCATAGTTGGTAGATTATTGCTCTAGTGGGAAAGTAACTGGATATATAAAAGAAAGGGACGAAAATGAGAGGGGTGAAGGGAATGCAAATGAAATAGTGGAAACACATCCTGAAAATTATACTTCGATTGTTACTAGAGCAGCCTAATGATCTGTAAGACCTGTGACTTCGAATGAGCAAGTAACGGAGCAACACCAATCAACCACCAGGGAATTTTTTTATTAATGAAGATTCAAATCTCCTACAAACCCGCAAGTGTTGAGGCCCCAGCTGTGGCCGCAGGTCAGAGGAGGAGGACAGCTGGTGTTGGTGCACACAGACGGCGACGTGCATCCCGAGATGACGTTTGCAAAAGACGTTACTGAGCCAGCTGAATTACTCGTGTTTTTGATGTTGTTGTTGCTGCTGTTGCTGCTGTGGTTATTATTGACAATTTCAGGCAAGGGCAGCAAATGTCCAAAGACGCGCACGGCAGACAAACAGCCTGGCAGAAAAAGTATATTCAATTCAAAGGATATTCAAAAGGGGAACTTTTAGGAGCGTATGTGGTACCATAGGAGCTTTTATTATAAATGTGCTTATATTATATATTCTTGATTTTCAATATGAAATTATTCTGGGTTAATTACAATTCCATGAAAACCAAAAATCTAACTAGATAATGCAAAATTGAATTTCAGTCATACCCTATTTCCACTTATATCTCATCAATGCTCGATATTCACTAATGATAGAATTCATTCATCAATGCATGCAACCAAACTCTTTTTACAGATTGAACACAAACATTTCCACTCATTACACCATTATTAAAATCCTTCCACAAGCTGCCGCCATCCAGCTCGACTCTATTCCTCCTCTTGCGGTGAGACCGAGATCTTTTCTTGCGGGAAAATCTGAAATATTCGAAGCCAGGGAGCCGAAGTTCGTCCGATTTCCCGGAGACAAGCGACCGGGAGTTGGAGATAGAAGTAGTTGGAGATAGGTGGGTTAGTGATAGAAACTCGCGCTGCTTGTGAGTAGACGCTTGAGTTTTGCCCTCGACGAAATTTGGTAAAGATATGCGTAATTTTCTAGCCGCATCTGGAGAATTCTGTGTAAGTTCTACCGTTTCTTTAGAACTTGAGGCGTCCTCCGCAGATCTGAAGGCCACATCCACAGATCTCGGGGCCACATCCAAGGATCTCGGGGCCACATCCAAAGATCTCGGGGCCACATCCACAGATCTCGGGGCCACATCCAAAGATCTCGGGGCCACATCCAAAGATCTCGGGGCCACATCCACAGATCTGAAGGCTTCATCCGCAGATGTTGGCCTCACACTCTCAGTCAGACCTCCCAGCCACGCGCCATCGTGTCTGCTGACGCTGAAAGGTAAACTCTGCAGCTCTGGCAGCAGAGCGCTGGCGTACGAGTCTTGCTCCGCCTCATCTATGGCGACCTCCAGCAACTCTGCGTGCCTGTAACGGAAACTCTTATTTCTATAATATTAGCATGGAATATCAGTTGCTTGAATTGATATAAGAGGTATATCAATGACATTTTGCTGATATACTTCAGTAGTTCATTTACTATTCATTCCCATGAGATTATTAGATCCTAATACAAGTTTTATTAATACAGACAGCAGATTGCATTTCTAAAATATACATGTCACTACCAGCATACTAATGATTAATTTAAAAGTATCCTCTTACCTCTGCGCCATGACATGATGCCATTCTCCGTCGTCGATTTTTTTAACAACGCAGAGCGAAGTGTACACGCGACCGTCCAAGCCAACGACAAGACAAACACTGCCGGCCTGGAGCTCTAAACTCAGCCAGTCGGTGCGGTGACGTGACCGCAGAAGCACGAGTGTACCATCGCTCGTCCGCGTCAGGAACCTAAGTAAAATTTATGCAGTGTGAGACATGAATCTTTGACAAATGTTTCACTGAATAATGAATGAAATTTATTTCCATTCGTTATTGCTCACAGACTGCAAATAATGATCAACTGCATCATAACATAAATTATCAGAGCGTTCCTACTTCTCATAATTTTCTGTACATAATTTCAAAGTTCATGGAGTGGTGAAATTAAATTGTACTAAACTTAACTTATGGAAGAAAACTGTCTTCAAACCTAAGCTCAATTTGAGCCCAATACTCGGGCGGGGTGAAGGAGAGAGCGACGTTGACATGACTTTTGCTGAGGAAGAACAGCGCCGGAGACTCGGCCAGACAGCCGGCACCCGCCCGCCCCGGGGCGCACTCGCACTGCTCCGCGCCCGGCGACCCCTGGCATCTGCGGTGGTGACGGATCGAATCTTTAGGAAGTGTTGTATCATCAAACTTCATGCATAATATTGGCTTATTATAAGATTAATTGATTTAACATACAAATTTGTGAACAAGCTGAATATACATACACCAGTGATGTATATATGGTATACAAGGCATCACATCACATAAATACTGGGTAATTAAATGCAAAAACATGATCATGATATTTATTTCCGCGGTGAAAATGCGGGCTGTCACATAGCGAAGTATAAAATGAAAGTCGTAAAACTGGAGAAATCGACAGTTTATTTTTATAATCTTCCTCTGCATTTCAAGATCAAATAAACAAGCTTCACTTGGTTGAGGGGACACGAAGCGTACCGAGCGTGCCGAGGACACGCGTTCGAGGGCCGGAAGCAGGAGAGGGCGCCACAGCCAGCCACGCTCGCGGTCATGGCGCCTGGCGACCCGAGGTCTTGGAATTCTTTGTTGACGCGCACGTGCGACAAGCAGCCGTGAAAATCATTCTCAGAGTTAAGAGATTTCCTCTCGTGTGAAGATTTGGGGTCCTCATAACGCCCCCCAAGCTGAAGAGGGGCTCCCCAACCAATAGGGCCTTCGTTGTAGGTAAGGGGAAGAGAGCCCCGGCATTGGGTGGACTCGAGAGGAAGGCTGGATGTTGTTTGGCTGGTCGAGGCGAAGGGATCTGAACCTGTGTCCAGGCAGTGATCCAGCATCACGGTCACCGTCTGCAACGTCAGTTGAAACAGAAATACTACGGAAATAATGAATACTGGAATTCTTATGAAGTTCGACAAAGATAAAAAGGAAATTATACAACGGTGACCAACTATGCAGAACATTACGACACTTGAGAAACTCTATGGCCAATTTGACGATTATTTCGTTTACTCATAGATGTCAGATAAGAGTTATTTAAATGCCAGGAAGTGCAGCTAATATTAATTATTCAATATGGGCCATCCACAGTAGAAAATTCCGTGTTTCTCATTAAATCGCGTAAAATTGATCAAACTATGCATTTACCTCATTAATCCAAAAAACGTCGAGTCGATGCCAAACATTGTCAGAGATAATTTTCTGCAGAGTCAAACTTTTCGAAGCTTTTGGTCCGCTACTTTTGATGGCGAACTTGGGTCTTCCATCATCGAGGAGCAGGTGAAAGTGTCGAGAATTTTGATCGACCCGTGACTGGGAGCCGAGAATGTTGCCAGTTTTGTGCTGAGTCAGCACGAAGATGGTGATGTGCAGTTGTGAACAAGTGGGGAGGGAGGGCAAAACCACGAATGAGGGTACAGGAGAATATTCGTATCGAGAAGCGGGACTGTATGGCCTGAAATGTCGGGTGAGAAGTTTGCAGTGTGGGCCCACTGTGTGGCCCGGACACGAGCATCTGCACGAAATGATGGCATTTTGAGGAAAATTTTGGCTTATTTTGGAAATAATTCTGGAAGATTCATATATTTTGAATTTTTTTTATTTGAAAAATAATTCTGGTAGATTCGTATATATTCAAAATCTTTTAAATTTCACCGACATTAATCTGATGTAAGGAGCCACGATCATTCGTAAATTTTGGTCAATTTGAAAGAGACCACCAACGGTGAGTCATTGAAAATCAAGAACTGAGCAGCCTTCTTCTCGGCAGGCAGGCAAATGAGGCACCGGTCAGCCGCTCATGACACGGCGGCGCAACGCCTCACCTGGGCCCAGACGCGGCGTGAGGCAGGCACTTGCCGCCGTTGCGGCAGGCGCCCCGGCTGCATGTCGGCTGTCGCCCGGCGGCGACCGCGTGCGCCGAAGTTAGGCTAGCCAGCTGCCCGCGCTCCTCTTCGGCGCCGCCCTGCACTGGACACCTGAACAGCGTGTGGTGCTTGAGAGGAAGTGAGCATTATCGTGGGTTTATATATATACAACTTAGATGATGCTCATTCTTGTAAAATTCGTGTGCGTTATATAATTATTTGTGAACTTCTTAGCTGATCTTTTCGTATTTCGTAAAATTATGTGTTTTGAATATTAGGTATAACGACCAATAAAGGTCATTGATTTAAAAATAGGTTAGAATTCCTGATGATATTAAAAGTCCGAAAGATTTCAGTCTGGTTTGAAAAATGAGACATATGACGTTGTTAGAATTGTTCCTAAACTATTAGTGTGAATTATGCAATAGGGTTTTTCTAAATAGGTTGATCTTAATATACTGGTCTTAATTTGGTACTAGTATTTAACTATGAGCTCCGAAATTGTTTGTTAGTCCCAATAACGAAGAGTAAGCTTCGTTTTTGATGTGCACAAACGCGAGTAAACATGACAACGTTTGTTGTTTTTTTCTTAACAAAACGGCGAGAAATATGTTGCGACTTTAAAATAAATGCGATAAAATAAAGCAATTTCGACACTAAAAACATAATTATTTCAATTGTTTGGGGACAAACGCTCAGGTGCATTCTTTCACCTGCACAAAGATTCTATACGTAGGGAAGGCCCGGCGTGGCTGCGAGCGCCGGCATCCGCGAGGTGCCAGCGCTGGTCCAGCGCCGCGCGGTCGCGGCAGCAACAGCGGCACGCAACTCGTCGAGACGCGCAGTCGCCCAGCGCCGAAACGCCCGCGTCCAACACAGCCGCTCCGACTTCGGCCTCGATCTGCCGTGCCACGACCGTACTTACGAGAGTAGGGGCAGTAAATTTCGCATAAATAAAAGCAAGTTATTCACTATTTTGAGACTATTATTTTAGTTCACCTCATGTTGATGCTGGAATATTAGAGGCTCCATGGCAAATCTGAGGTGCCTTTTAGGTGGCTGTTGAAGGAGCCACACTCTGGTGTGGCTGTCATGGTTGCGACGTATGGTTTCTACAGCCACAACCATGACGTGTGGCCGAAGGGCTGACATATCGTGCGACTTTGCGGAGTCTGCCCTTGATAATTCTGAGTAGTCTGCAAGATGCTGATTCAGCAGCCTCAGGAGTCGGTCCAGAGGAGATTCTGAGTTTGGTTCCTGGAATGTTCACAATGGTGTTACCCGGGCAATAATTGTAAAATTTAAAAGGGTCAATGACAAAATTCTCATCGTAGACTACATCAAAGTCATCACTCACTTCAGCGTCAGCATTCGTCAGGAGCTCGTGAGGCAAGATGGCGAGATCGATTGGTGTAGATTTCAGCGCGTCAGCAACTCCGACGCTGCTGACGTCAGCGTAAACAGTCAGCTCGTGCGCTTCGCCCGACGCTGACGAGAGAAGCAGCTTCGCTTCATGTCTGCAAGTGGACACAAGTCGAAGATGTGATCTCCACGAAATAAAATAATCTGTTAAAGTACAACTGCGCCTTGGCTCTCGGGATAGACTGCAATCTTAACAGTTGCAAATAAGAACTCGAGCACAAAGCGGGGCAAGCGGAGGCGCATAGCAACGGAAACTTTGTTGAAGTGTTGGATTGAGAAGTTATTGCCGTGTGAAATTCTGATCAGCATATTGACAGGACACATTTTTGAGTATGAATGGGGCAGTAAAGTTCTCATCACACATCAAAGAATTCATTTCAGGCTACATAAAAAAATAGTGCTCGCTGTTTTTCTATAAACGCCAAATTACACGATACTGTGGAAAATAGGTAATTGGAATAAACAGAAATTTTCATTCATCAATTAATCTGGATTAATAATATTCATAAATACACCCACCGTCCCAGCTCAGCTGCAGGATCCAGCAGCAACAATCCTGAGTCGCTATCCAGGCGAATTCCTGAATTAGCTCCCTGCCATGTAATTCGAGCGCTGAATTTATCTAATCCACGGCTAGAATTACCCAAGGATTTCCCAGTAACAGGGTCAGGTTCATCGAAGTTGAACCTGAATTTATCCCTGAATAGTGAGGATACATTATCCGTTTCAGTGTCGGTTCCGTGGCGTTGCGTTGCGTCGCCAGGGAAGGGCAGGCGAGGGAGACGCCCGAGGGGAGCTGGAGGGGCCGCCTACAGAATGTTCTTAAATATTGAATTCCACATTCATACAACAAATAAGTAATAAACAATTAAAATATTACAATAACATGAGTAATGAAATCTCAAAAGATCTGCTTCAACTCTCTGATAATTGTTTAGAGAATCGTAATTAGATAATAATGTATATGTACTTCACATTTTCAGCTGTACTCATTTATGTCAGCGGCATTCATAACTACCAGATGTACTCCCAACTGTCAGCTGCACTCATAACTGTAATCTACATTCATAACTGTGAGCTACTCCCATGACAGCCATGACTATTAGTGTTCCTCGTCAGCAATATAAACGCAAATTATCAGTAACTATAACGCCAGGCATGAGATATACTCACGTCAGCTGACACGACGGTGGCAATCTTAACGAGGCTGACGTCTCGATGAGCTGACTCAGATGAGTGAGGCACAAGAGTCAGCGTCATCTGCCGTCGCATAGGCGGTGAACCAGCGTCTGACAATGTCAGTGGCACTGACACAGCTGCACTGAGTGGCCTCAGTGTCAGCAGTTCAGCTGCCACCACAACTCCTCCACCAGCAGACGCTCGTCCTAATCAATGGTGTTTCTTCAGTAGCACTCGACACGAAGTAATTGTAATAGTGAAGCTGGTAATGAGCTACATTAACATTTCAGGGTATCTGTTAGTGGGCCCTACGCTACGTGAATGACTGAAACGAGGCAAGGAGTAATTAAGGCTGGAAGTTATACTCGTACTAATGAATCAAATTTCAATCAATTCGAATACCGTATTATTCAATTGAATATTCAAAATCGAATATTCAATTTTATATTAAAAATTCATATGGAAGTAAACGTGAATAATTCGACTAGCAGGCTTAAGCTCAATGAATTTCGATACAATTATAGAAAGCTCGGAATCTGGCTACCATGGTTAGTTCGCTGTTCTTTATCTTTATTTCCAGTCGCTTGGAGCAGTGCGGCGGCTGGTTAAACTGGAAAGCTCAGCGTTTTACGCGCTCAGCGTTTTTTTCAAAACATTAACATAACAATAATAACAACATAACAATAATAACAAAGTCTCGCTACAATAGAACAATTCAGTTATGTTCTGTGAACTTGGTTATCACAAATGCTGATAAAATGATTCATCAAAACCTGGTTGACTTTACTCACCAGGGTAGAAGCTAACCCTGTACCCAGCATCAGCCGTGAGATGAGTGTCGAGATGAAAGGGCGGGCCATGACCCTGAGACCAGTCGTCAGGGTCGTCTAGGGTTAAGGTGAAGGGAACCCTTGTCCCTGCAGGCAACCCCAGCCCTCCACCATCGCTGCTCCCTGCCATGGGGGGGAGCTGCACTCTGGACCCCCCCAGCAGGAAGGGAGGGTTGTCGTTCACGTCGTCGACGTTCACCTGAGGCACCGGAACGCCGCGCGTTTATATGCAGTCACATGAATTTAAGTTATAATTTAAGGTACGATTTGAAATAGTTTTAGATGCGAGTAGGGATAAATGATAAGGAATAAAATACGATTAGAGAAAAGAAATTAAGTTAGGAATCAGCCACGATTCAAGGTATAATTTGAACTAATATGAGGTGCGGTTAGGTGTGAATTTCAAGTTGAAGAGGATTACAGTAGAATAGAGGTTCAGAGTTGACTATAGTTCTACGTATGTGAATTGGATGTGATAAATTTTTAGTTCGACTACTTAAAGCTGTCAAACCTGTCTCCTTGATCTGCAAAAAGGACCATGAACCTCTAACTAAAATGTATTGATAACCTTTGGCCAAAAAATACAGTGAACTTTCAATTAGAAGTTGCCAAAGATTTTCAAGACAGGATTTAACGTGAACATTTAGTTAGATGGAATCCTTCAATTAGAAAAAGACATCACCCTTTAGTACAGGAAAGTACAGTATGTACAGTAATTACCGTTACCGTGACCAGCGAACCATCGTTACCGTGACCAGCGAACCATCGTTACCGTGACCATCAACAAACCATCGTTACCGTGACCAGCGAACCATCGTTACCGTGACCAGCGAACCATCGTTACCGTGACCAGCGAACCATCGTTACCGTGACCAGCGAACCATCGTTACCGTGACCAGCGAACCATCGTTACCGTGAGGGTGGCGGTGGCCGTGAGTGGAGGGCTGCCGCTGTCCCAGGCAAGCACCCTGAGCAGGTGTAGGGGGCGGCTCTCCCTGTCCAGTCCCCTGTTCAGGGTGACGCTCCCTTCGTCGCTCACCCTAAACACGCCCCCTGGGTCGTGTAGGGGGCGGCTCTCCCTGTCCAGTCCCCTGTTCAGGGTGACGCTCCCTCCGTCGCTCACCCTAAACACGCCCCCTGGGTCGCTCTCCGCGGATATGCCGTACGTCACCAGCCCGCTCGCCCCCTGACCAAACTAGCACGTCAATTTATATCATAAATAGAGAAGTTTACTAAGCTACAACACGGCAGCTTAGTGAAGGGACAAACCAGGCATAATTGATAACAGAATGAAATGAATTACTGAATGGACAGAAGTATAGCCTCATGATAAACAGCAGAATATCTCCATAACAAAGGATGGTAGTTCATGATGATGTTAGCGCTACTGAATTACTGAATGGACAGAAGTATAGCCTCATGATAAACAGCAGAATATCTCCATAACAAAGGATGGTAGTTCATGATGATGTTAGTGCTACTGAATTACTGAATGGACAGAAGTATAGCCGCATGATAAACAGCAGGATATCTCCATAACAAAGGATGGTAGTTGATGATGATGTTAGCGCTACTGACGGTGTCGAGGTCAGACGCGCTGAAGGAGGCGACGAAGGAGAGCAACGGCAGGTCCTCAGGCAGCGCCACGCTCTGCTCAACTGACACGGTGCTGAACGCTGGACGGTTGTCGTTCAGGTCCTGGACGGTTACCGTGACAGAGCATTCCGACACGCGGGGGTGCGAGCTCCACGGCATGTCGCCCTACAGTCACGGGTGCCAGAGAGAGAGAGAGTCACGGGTGTCAGCCTGGACGGTGACCGTGACAGAGCATTCCGACACGCGGGGGTGCGAGCTCCACGGCATGTCGCCCTACAGTCACGGGTGCCAGAGAGAGAGAGAGTCACGGGTGCCAGAGAGATAGAGTCACGGGTGCCAGAGAGATAGTCACGGGTGCCAGAGAGATAGAGTCACGGGTGTCAGAGAGAGAGAGAATTACGGGTGTAAGAGAGAGTCACGCCTTAGAGTCACGGGTGCCAGAGAGAGGGAGGAAGAAAGTCACGGGTGTCAGAGAGAGAGAGAGAATTACGGGTGGAAGAGAGAGTCACGCCTTATAGAGTCACGGGCGCCAGATAGAGGGAGGAAGAAAGTCATGGGTGTCAGAGATATAGATTCACGGATGTCAGAGAGAGAGAGAATTACGGTTAGAGTGAGTCACGCCCTATAGTCACGAGTGTCACATACAAGCCTACAGTAATTTAACCCTTTGTATATAAAGGCCACTGAATTTCCGTTACAGCGTCTTTAGATATGAGTAGCATTGGAGACGGTTAACGTATCCCTGGAGACGAATAATAATAAACGAGGCTAGGTAGCGTCAATGGATGATAGTGATCGGAACCAAAACGACGATCAAGTGAAGGAGTACAGTTCGAAATTATATGAGGGTTGCTCAGTATAACATCAGTGGATCGGACCTTTAATTACCTCTATTAGAAATGCAAATTTACTATTTTATCATGCAAACCCATTACCCATCCTTTCTTATCTCCTACGGTATTCTATCGTAATAAAATATATTCTATCTTCATATTATCAGGGTGTATTAAGAAGTTCGAGGTTTAACGAAGGCATCTCTTTCAGAGGATGAATATATGAGGTTGAATCAATGAAACCTTCAGAATCATTGAAGTATTCAGTCAAATAATTGCGTCAAAATCCTTGCTTCCAATCACCATGTAATATAGTTACATGATACACGGCATAATCTCGCAAATGTTAATATTGTTTTTGGTTATACGTCCAGAACCTTCATCCCGGATTTTGCTCTTTCCTTCTGTGAACAGCGCTTGAGGTTCCCCTGGCAGATAGGAGTGAAGGATATATCAGGAGTCCCAAGAGTAATTCCATACAATAATGAACTTTGTTACACAAGAGAATTAACACACGCAAATTAGTAGCAAACATACCGCATCTAATCATTTCAGCAAAATGATCACTCGCCACAACGAGGGACCACCAGACACATGACGACGCACCTGATCGGTGACCTGCACTCTAAAGTTGAGTCCCGCTCTGTGCTGTGGGTTCTCAAAATCCAGCGGCACTCTAGAGAACAGGTCAGCACCAGCTGTGCTTGCTGCCACTTCCACCAGCTGCCAGCCGTGACCGCTCCCTGGCACCACCTTTCGGGTGCATGATGTGAGTAGGGGTGAAAAAAGCCTCAACAAGAGACTACTTTCGTCAACATGAATCAAGAACCTCAACTGAAAAAAATCAATAGCTGGAATTCATAGATTGCCATGCTGTTAAGCATGCTAATTATCAACTATTACGAACTTATGACTTTATGCTTCAAGTGACGTATAAATTTCTTGTTTTATCGCTGAAAAATTAATGTCCCTATATGCCCCGATTTTTCTGAACATAAAGTAAATTAGGCACTTAATTTGATGATAAGCAAAAAATAAAAATAATCCAAGGGCGAGTCAGATACTTTGTCGTACGTTGGTAGGTACTCTACAATACCTCCTTCGCTGGCCTAATGCTTTTAAATAAATGTCTGAACTAAAAAGGCTCACCGTACTGCCTATGACGAAAACTATCAATTACCCGGTATGCAAACACGTTGCTTGTATCAGGATCCGTCACCACGAGAGTCGAGATAAAATTTTCAGAGACGTTGCTGCGAGATTTGGACGATGGAAGGCCGCGGGAGGGAAATTCTCTGTTGGAAGACAACACTGCGATGGATGATAAGGCTTCTTTGGGCAACGTGACTTCCTTAGACGAGGTAACTCCGTCGGATGACGAAACGCCGGACGATGACGATGCTTCGTTGGATGACGATGCTCCGTTGGATGGCGATGCTTTGTTGGATGACGATGCTCCGTTGGATGACGATGCTCCGTTGGATGACGATGTTCCATGGGACGAAGAACGCTGGAAAGATGCTTGACGATGTTCGGGGACCAAGACATCGACGTGCGATCGCACGAAGGAAGGAGGAACGTCGTTGACGTCGTCGATGTTTACGGTAACGGTGCAAGTACCTGAACAAACAGCAACGTAATTATTTTCTATTCCTTAGCGACGTCTTACAATAATTAAATCACATTGTAGGCTAACTTAGTGTTTATCGGACGATCGAATGTATAGTTAAAATTAATCTTAAAAAATGAATGTGATTTAATTGTAGTCAGTCAAAAATTACTGGGAATCCTAACATGTTTTGTTTGGGATCAAGTGTAGGAAAGAAATGTCAAAAATGGTCACTTGTACTCCCATCTGCAGACTTTTTTGGAACAAATTGTAAGTTTAGACTTTACGGGACAACACAATTTTATGGTCGCAAATGTTAACTGGCATTTCGTTAGTGCGAGCCTGCGAGGCGCTATATGTTAGGAAAGCTTTGCTGTTTGCACGAGACGCTGCGTGAAAAAAACAAAGCTTTGTCAAAGCAAATGTCATAAAAACCCAAGTTGCAGCCACCTTAAAGGAACCGAATTCTCACGCACCGCTTGCAATAAAGTTAGGACAGAGCTCTGCTGCTGTGGCCTCCACAACACCGTCGTTATTTTGGAGGAGATAAGCAAGTGATCAGGGGTCTTTTTCGCTAGCCAATATTTGGCATATTTCTTAGACTGATCATATTAGTAATAAATTATTAAAATGAGGGGAATAGAAGGATGATTTGTGAAGTGCGGATAATGGGCTAACAAAATTGAAATTAATTAATCACGAGCCACTTTCGAAAATTAAGGCGAAAGTGTAAGCGCAGTGACGCAATTTTTTCAAACGCGGCATTAAAAATATGTAGCAACTTGTGTCCAGAGATGAATAGTTTTCATTGCATTATTATCTAGACGTAATTTCATTGATTAATCAAAAAAATTGAGTATGATTTAATGTGATATAAATAAGCAAGAAATCAGAAATAAGCAAGAAATAGTGAAGCCTTAAATTAAGCCCAAATAATCTGAAATTGGCTATTATTAATATCATATAATATGTTATTTATAAAAATGGATTAAACGTTTCAAAATAGAATATCAATGATACCGCGCAAAGATGCAAGGTTGAGGTATGAAAAAAATGAACTGCTGAAAAATAGTGCAAGTTCAATTGTTTATTTCACATTTAAAATTCAAATGAGAAAAATGAAATTAAAAATGAAAGATGAACGCATTCAATGGTTCGCTGATTACATGCAAGAAAGAATGCAGCGGTTGCTCGGATTTTTTCATAGCTGAACATAACCGGGTTTAACCCGTCACTCGGATAACTGAATGATTTACAGCCAGAGTTTGGCCAGCAAAAAAAAACTCAGAATCTCGCCGAATAAAATTATTACAAATTATTAATCCCGCCCGTCCGCAGCGACCACAGGCCGAGGAAAACAGCAATGCTAGTAAAAATTTAATTGCATTTCTTGTACATGAGAGGCACTGGTCGACATTTTTTTTGTGTACTTCTGAACAATAAATAGAGGAAAATTCTGATAAAACATGAATTTATTTTAATCTTTTGGCGATAACCCAAGAATTCGTATTTGTTCTTTTCTCAACTGATCAAATGTCTTATTTATTGGAGAACCATAAATCTGCAACTGAAATTATTAAAGTACAACAAATTTCGCAGCTTCGAATGGAATACAAAAGGATCTTCAAAAATTTCCATAAATTAGTAAAATTATTTATGATCTCATAATTTCCATCGGAAGGCAGTGCAAAAAACACCCACATTGCCGACATAGACTCGGAACTCACCCACGCATCTACATCATCATTAGCGGACGATACAAGACTGCTGATGAAGATCACAGATAACCTAGACTGCGAGAGATTACAGGATGATCTATCGTCAATCTACGATTGGGCCCTAGTGAACAATATGCAGTTCAATGGCACCAAATTCGAAGTAATGAGATACAGAGTCCGCACAGAGATCGGGATGCCACATCGCTACTTGGCATCAGATATGGCACAGAAATCGAGGAGAAGCAACTAGTTCGAGATCTCGGAGTGTTGATGAGTACTGAAGCCACGTTCGATGCCCATATCGAGGAAATAGTCGCGCGCAGCCGGCAACGGATGGGGTGGATATGGCGGACATTTCGAACGAGGGAAGCAGCACCAATGATTACACTCTTCAGAGCCCTCGTGCTCCCCAATCTTGAGTATTGCTGCCAACTTTGGTAGCCACTCAAGGCGGGTGCGGTGCGAAAACTGGAGGCAGTTCAGCGGAGCTTCACGTACAGGATCAGCGGCATGAGGGAGCTGAACCTGAACTACTGGGGAAGGCTGAAACACCTGGAACTGTACTCACTGGAGAGAAGAAGAGAAAGGTATATCATACTGTACATCATGAGGGAGCTGAACCTGAACTACTGGGGAAGGCTGAAACACCTGGAACTGTACTCACTGGAGAGAAGAAGGGAAAGGTATATCATACTGTACAGTTGGAAGATGATAAACGGACTGGCTCCCAACTTAGAGAGTGAGACCTCCAAAATAATGACATATTACAATGAAAGAAGGGGGAGACTGTGCAGGATTCCCCCATTTAATAACCGAGCCGCGGCCAGAGTACAGACTCTTCGTGAGGGATCACTGTCCGTGGTAGGACCGAGGCTCTTTAATGTCTTGCCAAAAGCGCTGAGGAGGGGAGTTTTCCCTTGCAAGATTCAAGAGACGACTGGACAAGTGGTTGAGAAAGATCCCGGATTGTCCAGTAATGGGAAACCACCCTCAGCAAGTGACAAGCAACAGCATCTTGCATCAGCTGGCCCAAAGGAGGGCAAATAGACGGAACACGTCCAACGTTACATCCGACGACGACTCGGAGACGGAGGACGACGAAGGCGGCGCATCAGCGTGACCGTGGACTACGACGTCCTAAACTCATCACAAGGTCACAAGGTCACAAGAAAGATATTACAAGACTCGATAAAAACTTCGGTGAGCAGCGCCGGAAAAGTTCATATGAGTTGAGCAAGAGGCTTTTGAGGAGCGGACGCGCGGAGTTACTTCTTCTGGATTATTTTAGACGGCGCCTGAAGCTAACCGAAAAAAAACGATCAAAATCAAAAAGTTTCCGAGACACGTGTTAAATGGCGAGAGGTTTTGCAGCAGGAGATTGAGTTTCAATTTAATTTTAAGTTATAAAATTTCAGTTGCCTGGGCATAGAAATTCTTGGCAAAGAAAAAAGAAACAAAATAAAAGCATTCAGTTCCAGCACTTCCTTTAAGGAAACAATGATTACCAGCGCACCAGCATATGAGGCTATCTCGCGTCGTAAGTCTTATTACATTAGTAACAGACAAGGTGGAAGGCCTCGATCATCATATAGTTCTTGCATAGAAAAATATTCGGCACTCGAATGAGGCGTGAGGCTTGAAATGTCCAGCGGCATGGACCTAAATGTGAAGAACTAGACTACTATGTAGTATGGAGCGCAGGATCATGAAATGCAACAATGACGCGTACAAGGGGTCTTAGTATCTGTAAAATATGTTCATTATAATTAACGTCATAATATAAATGATGTTTACGGAGAACAAACCTTGAAGACCTCCTCCGTCAGTAGCAGCAATCACAAGCCCGTAAGACGACGTGTGCTCCCTGTCTAGACAGCAGACGGCCGTACGCAGAGCCCCCGTCTGCCTGTCAACTGTGAACATAGGCAGGCGGGAGCGTTCATCAATGACGTTCTTCAGCAGCGAATACGACAGGCGGGCGTTGTCGCCTTCATGCGGGTCGTCTGCGTCGTGCGCAGTCACTACCGCCACGGTCGTTCCTGTGAAAAAAGAAGCGATTAATTCAGGACGGAATAAACATATTCGATAAGTTATAATTAACATCAAAAACAAACTTATTCGCAATAGCACGAGTCATATGCTTTAAAGATTCGCAATAAGGCTTCCGTTGTGCTCAGATGCGGTCTAAACTAATGAGAATACTCACGCGTTAACTGCAAAAACTATATAAATATAAGACGTCATTAAATCCTGATTGATTGGAAGGCCATTGAATCTGGAAAATTATAAATATGAGAGGCAGAGTTTAGTATAAAAATTATAATAATATGATTCAGATATCCTCATGCTCTTGAAAGGACATAAACAGACTTAAAAAAATAGTGCCGAAAATAGACTACGTAAAAAGTTTCGCCGCCCCGGTAAGCGCAGAAGCAGTCTTTGAGCTCCAACGCACCCACGAAAGAAAAAAGTTTTTCATCCAGAAAACTTAGAAATAAGATTCGGTGATATGGAAGATAAGACGAGCTGAATTTATTATTTACACATTTTTGTGTCTACGTTCTATATTTCTTGTTCGTTGAATACTTCGAAGTTTTGTAAACTCAATTTTTAACATACACTTTTGAAAGATAAAACCTGGCTGTTCCGGAAATGCATGATGCTGTAATAATCCGTCTTACACTCTTCTCACGTACCTGCAATATTTTCGAAAACTAAGTGCCTCAAGTTGCTAATTACACCGAAGATGTATCGAGTCGAGAAAACTGAGAATTTTATTTTAAATTACTAAATTGGGCGTAAAATAATTAAATTAAGACAGGGAATATCGATGACATTGCTATTGCAAATATTGATCCAAACTTCGTCAAAAATCACGCAAACTTGTCGCTCGTGGATCGTTGCTTGCTCACGATAACGAAGCTGAGCTGCCAACTTTATGACGAGAGAAATCCATCTTTTAGAATCTCATACCGAGGAAAAACGATAATATTTTCAATCAGATTTACGAAACGTGCTTTTTTGCTTGTTCTAATAATTGGAAATCGAGATAAGGCATGTAGTCGCATTGCTCACGGTGCCGAAGATTAAAAGCGATTACCTGTCGTGATCTGAACCTGACTGTGAGGCGCGTAGCAACTCAAACAGCAAAAACTTACATAAAACCCGTTATTACAAAATTGAGACAAGCATCTTTGTCATGGCTTGCCTCGACATTATAAAATCAAAGTTTTTTTATTAAAAAACAAACCATTTTTCATTAAAAAACAAACAAACCATTAAAACAAACCAAAAAGTTCATAAGATTGCTAATAAAAATTTTACCGAAAAAATTAAGGCCTAACTCGTGATCATTAATTAAAATCACCTGGCATGGAGTTTTCCAAGACGTTGGCGTCGATGACGTCATGCGGGAAGACGGGTGCGTTGTCGTTGACGTCTTTGAGGTTGACGAGTACGTTAGTGGAGGCCGTGTACTGCCCGTCCGTGGCCGTGACCGTCAGACGCCAGCGCGCCTGGCCCGTTGGTGCGTCACGGTCCAACGGCTGCCAGGAAAATTTAATAAATTAATTAATATAAAATTTATTTTTAATAAAATTTTTTTACACTTTGATCTACTCAAGACTAGCTCTCGTGCTACAAGTACTCACTCAATTTCAATATTATTGACATGGTCCAGTGTGGGCACAGTTCCGCTAACCGCTAATTAGCGTTAGCGAAGGTAACTTTTTCCTTATCGGATTAACTTTTCAGCCAACTTTGAAAACCATCAGCGGACCAATTAGCTTCCGCTAAATTTCAATTAAATCCGCTAGCTGGCAGTCCGCTAAAAATGTTCTGATAGAAAATTCAGGTGTTAATATTAAATGCTAAGTATCGTTAGCCGTTTGCCACACTGATGGCTGACTACGTCAGCATATGTACATCAATCAATCACATCTTCTGTTACTGCCACATATTGTAGTAGCACAAGACATGATAGGTTGACGCAGCATTGTGTAATTCTGCAGTTCGGTTCACTTAGGACGTTAGTCACGTAACACGTTACAGTCTTACAGCGTCAGGGACGACAAGGTACGTTATCATAAACATGTCAGTTTACCGAGTCTAAAAGTTTTTGCAATGGAAAGTGAAGACGCTTTTGTTCCGTCTGAGGATGTTAGACCTGTTTCGGAGCCTGCAGTGGCTGTGAATCATGAGGCGAAGGCTGCTGAGACTGAGAGGTAGGTCTGCATTGAAAAGCCTCAGAACCTTTTTGGAAAGCTTCTTGTCAATGCTACAACATATTAAAAGTTCAGCTCTCTAAGTCTGTTTTTCCGAGTTTTAGAGCCCCCAAAAAATTAAACCAAACCTAAATTTATATACTAAAAGTTAGAAGTTGGCGGTAAATTCAGCAAAATTTTTCGCCAATTTATCGGTTTATAGCGTTATAAAAGCTAACTATTCAGTAGCGGATTAACGGTTATCGAAGCTAACTTTTCGGTTAGCTGTGTCCACCCAAACCCCACGACACCCAAACCGCCATAGCCACTGTGTGCACCTGTCACACTGCATTATAAATGGTATGCAGGGTAGGGCAGTTGTTCGAAGCTTATCTCGGTATCAAGGATACCATCTTCGTATTGAATCTTCTCCTCAAAGGATTAAACATCGTCGCAATTTACGTAGAGATTAGAGCCCATACTATCAAAACTCACTCAAGTATACGTAGCGGCCAGTTACATGTAGTGGCCGATTTCTCTTCTGTGATTGGTGGGTCTATCTTGAAAAACCCTCAGTGATTGGCTCATAGAGTTACGAACTTATAACTATTTCCGATATTACGGCCTTAGGCATCAAGTGATACCTGATGCCTGACATCAAGCGTCAGTTTCATTATCAAGCAGTCTAGATGCAAAGGCTCTGTCATTTAAAACTTCTACTTTTATAAGTTTGTTAGTTCGAAGTCTCGTTTAGAATAAGACGTTCTAATTAGTAAGCTTTGTTCTTAGCAGCCAGGAGCTTCGGACGCTCATTTTAGATGGAATATCGCGTCAACACGCCTGGATTTATCAGCTAGTACTGAAATAATGAATAAACTTTGCAACAAATGAAGTTTTGTCAAGACTTCAGCCCCGACTATCGAAACAATACGAATCAAAAACACAATTTTTACACCAACAACATTGCAACAACGGCAATATTTCGCGAGATCCCACAAACCCATCATTTTTCAAACTCTTGAATCGATAAAATTTAGCAACAAAACTGTCGGCTGAACTTCGCCTTAAATCTGCACCAAAAATTCACCATCTAATTTCAGTCCCGCCTGAATTTCCCCGCAAAACACAAGGAAGTTGGGAATTAAACAGTCAGCGTATGTTGTTTACGAGGCCATCGCTCTGCTGCCTGTCTAGAGGCTCAAGATGAGCGGGTTTTGTCTATAACTCCTCGCATATTTTGAGCTTTCCTCAATAAATTAAGGCACAATTCCAATATCAAAATATCAAAATAAGTATATAAAATTAAAACTGTTATTATTCACGTATGCAATTGATTATTATGGATGTCTAACGTAGCCAAATACGGCAAAATCATTTCAGTGACCGAATTCAGTTGTTTGACATTAAAAGAATTATGCGTGCAACAAATAGAACTTTTATCAGATCTACATAAGATAAATTAGGAAATCTTGGCAAACTAATTCTTAATTATATTTAAACAAGAATTTTATTGAATTATGATTCCAATTTTTACTTCAGAACATAAGACGATTTGATTGTTATCCTCAAGTATAGTAAAATTAAATATTCAATTAACTTAAATAGAAACAAGGTATATTTATCTCGTCAAATTTATATTTGTATAATGGCTGAAGAGCTTATTAACATATACGCAATTAATATCACTTAACTGGACCTTCTCCTCTGCAAGTACAGCATTATTGAACGTTGCGAAGGATTAAAAGTAAGAGGGGACTGAATTGGACACTTAAAAGTAGAACCTCAAAAACGAAATATCACATGCATAATTCTTATCATTTAATTAAAGATAATAAACTACTTAATAACTAACAATATATAACTTAATAATGTATGATAAACTTAATCACGTATGTTATAGTGTATAAGTTAATGGGAGGCTCCAAACTTTTGGGAAATATAGATACATATTTCTCTATAAGCACAATAAAATATCCAGACAATAAAATCAAGTTTTTGTTTCGTTGACTAAAACTTTTGCTACCGACAGAGCGGCCACAGTTCGAGTTCAAGAAGGAAGTTGCACTCAAGTTTCAAGTTCACAGAATAAACTTGCGCTACTCACAAAATTAAGAGGAGAGTAATAGCACGAGGCCTGGGCGACGATTAAGTTGGCGACTTGAGTTCGGGAGGCTTTATGCCGTCCAAAACTGAGTTGCAACTCTTCAGATGCCAGATAATGAAGCATACTTAAAATTATAAAGGGTCAGGTTTCATTTCAGGATATTATTTTTCATGCCGGAGCATAAATTTCAGTTTCATTTGAGCAATGCTTCTGGTGAAAGAATTATCAGCCATAATCCAACCACAAAATTATACTATAAAATTGGCAATCACACGGCACTATACCTCGCAACTACTGCAGAATATCGAGGCTTAAATTGGGGATAAAGTACGCGGGAACAATTAAGTTATTCATACTAGTAGAAATTGAAAATTTATACTTTCAACGAAATAGAAAATCTTTACTTTCAACTTCTTTAAACAACGATGAATTTTCCACTTGAACAGTTGATTTCCACTCGTCTAGCGAAATCTTGTAGCAATCGGCTTTTTCAACACCTGCGACTTTGTGTTGACAATGTCAAAGGATAATCTTTCTAGTTCATACACGAAATACCAAGTTAAGTCTTTCACGCCATAACTTAATATTTCAAGATGCGGGCCGATCAACAAACTCTTACAATTTGATTCTCTGTAACGACGTGAAAACTTTAAGGGTCGATCACAAAGGAAGTGCGCATACGTATCTCAATGCATTCCTTTACTGTAGTAAATCTATGTCTATAAAACTGCAAGAACAACTGAAGGGCGGACAATAATTCTCGTGAAATATTACTCGGCGTCACGATGGGCAAGAAATGAATAAAGCTTCAGCAGCTGGTGGCAAGAGTGGCAGGCTTCGTGCCCGAGTTATTCATCTGGAGACGCACAGCTGGTCTCGGGTGGCAGGTGGCATTCATCAAGTGGTGGAGCTTATCGTTATTCAGGTATTGTGAACGGCCTTTGCGTTGGACTGAGTCTTAACCTTTATTTGAGTATCCTGAGCAGCATACGGTTCGACCTGAGTCTTTGCCGTTTTCGAGTATATAGATCGACCTTTGATGATTCGGACTGAGTCTTTGCCGTTATTCGAGCGTACTGAACGGCTTAGCATTCGTCCTGAGTCAGCCGTAATTCGGACATACTAAACGGCCTTTGACTCTTACTGAGTCCTTGCCGTTATTCAAGCATAAAATTGGCCTTTGATTCGGCCTGAGTCTTTGCGTTATTCGAGCGTACTGAACGGCTTATGATTCGGCCTGAGTCTTATAACGATGATTCGGGCATACTAAACGGCCTTTGAGTTGGCCTGAGTCTTGGCATTTATTCCAGCATACTGAACGGCATGTGACTTGGCTTAATTAATAATGTATTACCTTCAAACTATATATATTCATGCATGCAAAAACTTTGAAACGTCAAACCGAAAATGAAATCGTGAATGTTTACGAGAGATGTCAATTGGCGGGAAGTGCTAAATTAAAAATGAAATGTGCAATTTTGAAGAAATCGCTTCCTTCGTACAACAGAAAATAATACTTTAACTCTGTTTCGGGCAATTTTTCACGATTGAAGAATGAAGAGCACTTTTACTAATTACAAGAGCAATCAAAAATAAACAATTAAACATTTATGACACTTGGTAAGAAAAAACTTTCACAATGCTTAAAATCAGACTCGGGGATCAGAATTCATAAATCCTGAAAAAATTTCTAAATATTATGATGGATACAAATGCATCAATTGAAAATTCAAAATGTAAATCGCATATGTGAACCAATAATTACCGAGGAGTATGAAAGTTGAACGAACTGCAGGCTTGCCGATAATGTTATTTTTCTATGGTGATGATGACACAATGATAAACGAGGAAAAGGAAACTCGAATATAGCTGAGATATGTTGAAAATTTTAGGTAAAATTCATCTGCCGAATGATCAAGAAGAAAAGAGTAGGTACTAAATAGTTTAATAGAAATAGAAGCATTAACCCGCAAAGAATTCCTGGGCAGAAAATTCAAGGAGGCGCTTGGGGTTAGAGCGAGCTGTTGCTGGCCATGCGCTCCATGATCTTGGTCGTAAATAGGCGGCTTTACGACGTGTCTGAGAGCCGAATTACGACTCGCTTCTCTGTGATTGGGTCCCGAAGTGAGGGTAGGCAAGAGCGACAAGCCAGTGACAATCGTGGGATGACGTCATGATAAAGTCGTAAATTCAGAACTACGACTTGACACACTTTTGTGATGAACGCCGCAAAGACGTAATCATTACGTTGTAAACTCAAAATATGCCGCTCGACATGAGCACATAAGACACAGAAATTATCTATTATGTATCAGGCGTGACAATCAGACAACCTGAAGATAGGACTTTTGGAAACTTTAGAAGTGGCAGCGAATTTGACTTGCCACCATGGAAAATAAATAAATAAAATTTGCAAAGAGCAGTGAGCAAAAATGTTGGGTGTATTCCTGCCACAAAACTCGAGCAGATTCATAAAAATGATTTTTTAACAATGGAAAAAATGAAGAAATCCCGTCACCGTACATGTAACACAGACATTTGATGTATCAAAAGCTGTCGCATTCGTCTGCTTTCCATTGAGCCACGCCACGCACGGAACGCTGTATTCCAGCATATCAGTTCAACTCATCAACATGTACCTAGTGGCGATTCAATGGACTGAACGCATCTCCTAGGCCTATATAGAAATAGAATTCCGCATTAAATAGGCAAAGTACAAGGCTTGCCGAGCGAAGCGGTTTGATGGTTCAACGCCGTCAATGCAGGACTAAATCTCATTCGTGTCTCACGACAATTCTGCAGTTAGTGTAATAGCTAGAATTGATTCCTTATGGAATTGGTGAATCGACAGCAATAATGCCAGATGGAAATGGGCGAATCATTGCCGATTCTCAGGATCAGCGGTAAAGTCCGCCAGTGACATCGCTAAATCATCTTCCTCGGGAGATAATGGAACCTTTATTGGAATTTTGGACCATCAGTCAGGGCGCAAACGGAACTGCCTGGTCACCGATCGCGAAAATACCACCAGATAAAAATGTATATGTTTGGAATGGAAGATAGAACTGGGAATATTTAGGAGGATTCAAAATAAGTTGGTGAACAAATAATAATATTATTGTCCTTACTCTGAGGCAGGTGGTCTCCAGAGCAGGATAGTGACAATTTTTAGTACAATCACGAAAAAGCAATAAAACAAGACCAAGTAATATCCTCAATAATGAATTTTTTTAAGCTTTTAGCACAATCAAGTTAAGATTCCCATTTTCTCATATGCGTGATACCATCCAGCAGTCTTAAATGCGTCAATATCAATTTCTCATCGTGTCTGCTGCCCACGTACAACTCCTCATCAAATGGCGACGAGCAACACAAAACCCTGGTCATTCGCCCCCATTTCTCTAATTAAAGTGTGCTCGGGGATATGAGATTTTGTCCAATTGGCGATGCACTGTTTGTCGTTATGTGTGTCATCCGGACCCAGTTTTTAACGGAAAAATGCCGTATCAGCTTCCGCGCTATTCGAGGTGAGCGTCGAGATGCATGCCGGTGCGTCAGGCGATGTGTTGACATCCAAGTCCCGCCGAGGCCGCGACGGAGGCGCTGCAGCAATTGTTGAGCAAGCGAACAGCGCGGCGAGAAATAAGTAAACAATGAAGTAAAACCATACTCGTTAATTTAAGGTTATCTAATAAATTTATTGATTAAATTAGAAACAATATAATTAAAAACTTCTGAACTTCGTGACCTCTGAGACCTCGAGCAAGCACCGTGACCTCTTGACCTCGAGCAAGCGCCGTGACCTCTTGACCTCGAGCATTCACCGTGACCTCTTGACCTCGAGCATGCACCGTGACCTCTTGACCGCGAGTATGCGCCGTGACCTCTTGACCTCGAGCATGCACCGTGACCTCTTGACCTCGAGCATGCACCGTGACCTCTAGACCTCGAGCAAGCGCACCGTGACCTCTTGACCGCGAGTATGCGCCGTGACCTCTTGACCTCGAGCATGCACCGTGACCTCTTGACCTCGAGCATGCACCGTGACCTCTAGACCTCGAGCAAGCGCCGTGACCTCTTGACCTCGAGCAAGCACCGTGACCTCTTGACCCCGAGCAAGCGCCGTGGCCTCTTGACCTCGAGCAAGCGCCGTGACCTCTTGACCGCGAGCATGCACCGTGACCTCTTGACCTCGAGCAATATACATAGTAAAATCTACCATCTATCCAAATGTAAGTCATAATCGTGACCATCAAAGCGCAAAAAAAAACATTTAAATCCATAGTGGTAAACGGCGCCTTGAAATGTTCTGCACCGTTAAATATTGTGCAGAAATAGTGCTGGAAATACCGCAGAGCTTTGAACAAAACACCGAAACAAAACTCGGCATCGATTAGCAATTTCATTTCTGGACCGCTTGTCGGCATTGTACAGGCACCACTGTGGCCTCTTCGGAACAACATCAAATGTCTTCATATAAGTGACATACGGCAGCAAAAATTCCTGCTAGCATCAATGAATCTCCATCAAACGTACTCAAAATGCTCAGAAGATATCCTGAGAGCCGAAAATGACCGAAAAATTATTCATGTACAACCGATGACTTCATAATGGCCATGACTACAGCAAGCATGAAGATCGTGAAATTTGTTCTGCCAAAATAAAGAGACGATCTCACCAGGTAAGCTGAATATCGTTCAGCACAAGCCAAGAGAGAGGAATGTGGGAACTGAAGGAGAACGCCTGGTTAATCCAAAGCACTTGAGCAAACTTGGCAGGACGCTCAGCTTCTTTGAAGAAAAGGTCGCCAGGTATAAAGAGCACCTAATTAGCACCGCCTCGAGGGCCAATGAAAGGACCAGCTCCTCAAGAGGACATTCTTGAGTGAGTAATATACATGTGTACTTACTTTAAAAACCGACAAATAATGAATACGTTCCCACGTTCCTGTCTAGAAATATATATCACAAGCAGATTCTTATAAAATATTACTGTATTATAAACATTCTTTGAGGTCATACATGAACACGTTCATCATTTAAACAATATCATCTTGCTGATGGTGAACTCGCCATCCGTGAGAACTTTAAAACTCACGACCAATTATCCAATTTCATTCTACAATTACGGTTGGAAACACTCACATTAGTAGATGAAATTTTCCGAGCGAAAAGAGCAGAATAAAGATGCAGGTAGCGATGCAGGTAGCGAATTCCGGCGATGGAATAAAGATGAAGTGGTGACCCAGTGATTGAAATGTGGTTTTGCTAGGATACTCAGGACTTCTCGATGATACAACGGATTTCACATTAATGACTACATCTGAATAATGAATCTTGCCCAAACCTCCAAATAATACGTAATAATAACACGGAAGTTTGTTCGCGTTCTGATGAAGAGCTAATGAGTAATCTTGACTCAGTCCAGCCTTCAAGTTTTATATAGACTTATTTCCTGCGATGTGTAACAAAATAAAATATTCAAGGAACTCAACAAATGAATATATATATTCAGGCGTAAATACGACAATTTTCCATGAAAAAAGCGACTCGCTTTATTTAACACTTCTTACTATAGTTGGGAGGAACTAAACAGTAAACAGGACGGCGAAAAATCGAGCCTGAACACTTACTACTAGAACCTTTGATTAAAGAGATGTTGGAATTTTTTCGACTCTATGTAGAATGTGAGAATTGACTGTGTATTTAATGAGACGCCACCGAGAAGAAGGTAAAAACAATTGTGCTCGAGAAATATTCTATGATTTTAAATTGAATAGCCGCAAGAGAACCGTTACAACCGAAAAAGGAGCAAGTGAACTGTTTCGAATAGAAATAATTAAGGTGTATGAGAACCATTTCAAACCGAGGAAAATGATGAAGTATGAGCTTCATATAGCGGAGAAATATCATAAGTAACATGCCCGGAAAATTATAAAATCAAAATATGACGAAAGAATGGTAATCCTCAGAACTATGCAACATTTACGCAAAAATTAATTTAAGCAAAATTCACAATATTCATCATTCCGGCGAATAAAAAATTCCACGTGACTACTTCCCCGAATTTGACCTCAAGATCATGTCAACCTAGTCTTTAATTATATTGTGAATTCTGGACAATTTAGACAATTTAGACAATTTATTGTGAATTTAGACAATTTATTCCCTGTATAGATTTTTTAGCAATTAATTTCCGGTTACTGATGGCGGCACAAAATTGAAATCTCACAAAAATTGTTACAGCTGCCAGAAGCGATCGTGCATTCAGTGCCTTGGTGTAAACACGACCGTTCCCATTGGAAGGCAGACCAGAATTGAGCTCTGGATTCTCCAGGCTAACATTAAAGGGATTCCTAAAGCAAAGAACTTCCTTTTCGGACGTCATAAAGGATTGAGGCGAGATAGAAGAGTTTCCTTTCCCATGAAATGCTGAAATGAAATGGTGACTATTAAAATTTAGAGAAGGCGTTAAAAGACAAAAATGTAATAGTCTTGGAAGCTCCAAAGGTTTTCTCAACTGTATTGATGCCTGGTGAAAATCGCGGTGATGGAAGCCAGTTTTTCTGTGTAGAGGGAAATTCTGAGAAAAAGACGATGCATAAAGACTTCCTGGATTGAGATATTCAAAATTTCTACCCAGATTGACTGTATCAACACGAAAACTTCGGAGGAATAAGAAATTATTTCCTAAAGATTACTAAATTTCGGTTAGTGATCAAGAAGACATTTGAAGACACATCCCTGGAAAATCAAAATAATATCGTAGGATACTCAAAAAATACTTGGGAAAAAAATTTTGTTGGCTGTTCTGTATTAAAAACAATATCTATACATTTTAAATTTCAAATGAATAGTATAACAGCTGTAAGGATGAGTGAAACCAAGTTTTCCCTGCAAGAGAATTTCGAGTGGAATTGCTAGCGCGTGTAATTAGAAAACCTAACAATAATTTTCTAACTAATATGAAACAATTGATTTAAATAGTTCCTTATTATGGCTGACTAGCTGCATGTTAATGGAGTAGTCAGCGATAAAGCCACTAGTATTGGTTGCCAATTCCGCGTCACTTCACATGGAGTTGACATAGGGACCACGTGGAGCCACAAATTAATATGGCAACCGCACGCAATTCACGCGACCAAAAACGCGAAAAATTGCTTCCCTTATAACGTTGGCGGCGCTACATACGTTGCCACCATCCATTACAAGGGGGAGGGGATATGCCTTTCACGTGGGACCATAGAATAAGATGAATAATATCGACACCCAAACCAATGTAGTGCAGCAAGAGAACTCAAATCCTGGGCAAAAACAAATAAGGTTTGTTTTAACACCAACCGTTTGTTTGTTTAAACACGAACTGCATAAATTTTAATTGGACTTGTGGCCATAAAGAAAACTGAGAAAACTGTCACTCAAGTAAGTCAAAATCCATACACGGACATTAATTATTTTTTCCGAGCATATATGATTTCTAAGCAGATTATTTTTTGTCTCCAATACTGAAGACACGCAACGAAAGTGTTTACCAGTTTATTGTTCTGCTCGCCTTAAGCACGTAGATGGTGCCATACGTAGTGGAGTGACTCAGTGCAATACTGAAGAGAAGTATTGGACCGCGACGGAAGTGTTTACCAGTTTATTGTTCTGCTCACCTTTAGCACGT